CTGGCACAGTGCCTTGAAAAGGGAGTCCTTGGAGACCGAGTGAGCCGATCCCTCGACTGAGGGGCCAGTGAGTGTGTGCCCCGCCCTGCGGGCCGGCATGAACCGCTGGGCTCCGGGACAGCGCCCCCTGGGCACGAGCAGGAGACCTGCGGGGTGTGCTGGCGGCTTGTGGGGCTCTGCGCCCTCCGGAGCCTGGGCGCCCCACACACATTGCTTCACACGTTAGGAACCTCCCCCAGCCCCACGCCCACGATCTCCCCACTGTCCCTGGACAAATTCTGACTAGCCTCTCAGAGCTGAGTGAGCACCGTAAGGGAGACGGCAGGAGGTGTTGGGTGTGTGCGTGGGGCGGGCAGATGGAGAGATGGAGAGAGGCTGCGGGGTAGAAGGGCCTCGGCGCCACCCCGGGCCACAGTTCCCGCCACGTGCTGGCCCAGAGCCCTCTGTGTGCTCCTGCAGCTGGCCTGGGCAGACCCAGGAGCACGGTTCTGGGCCCTCCCGTGGCCACAACTGGGCTCTGAAATGCACATGGAGGCCCCTCCTCCTGCTCCCTGTCTGATGCGGCTTTTCTGGAGCCAGGAGCCAGGGAGGGGGGCCCAGAATTCCGACTGGGCCCTGCCGCGGACCCTCCCCCCCCGCCCCTGCCCCAGCGGAGTGTGACCCTGGGCCCAGGCTGTGAGGTGGGAGGACACAATTTTGTGGTCCTGCAGCTCTTCCCAGCTTTTCCTGCTTTCTAGTAACTTGAGCCCCATTTTAGGGATTGATTTATTTGAAAACCAGAGTGACAGAGAGAGAGGGAGAGACAGAGACAAAGATCTTCCATCTGCTGGGGCACTCCCCCCAAAAGGCTGCAATGACCAGGGTGGGGCTGGGCCAAAGCTAGGAGCCAGCAACTCCATCCTGGTCCCCGACGTAGGTAGTGGGGGCCCCAATACTTGGGCCGTCGTCTGCTGCCTTCCCAGGCACACTCGCTGGGAGCCGGGTGCAAGGCAGAGCAGCCAGGACTGGAACCAGCGCTCTGACATGGGCTGCACGGGCATCCCCCACCACGCCGCAACACCAGCCCCACTTCCTCCCCTCTCCTACCGGGGCTTGGGGGGGAGGTCAGAAGGCTCCACCAACCCCGTTTTGACACATGAGGATCAAAGGAATGTGGTTGGGCTGGTGCCGTGGCATAGCAGATAAAGCCACTGCCTGCAGTGCCAGCATCCCATATGGACGTTGGTTCAAGTCCCAGTTGTTCCACTTCCAATCCAGCTCTCTGCTATGGCCTGGGAAAGCAGTAGAAGATGGCCCAAGTGCTTGGGCCCCTGCACCCATGTGGGAGACCTGGAAGAAGCTCCTGGCTCCTGGCTTTGGATTGGCACAGCTCCAGCCGTTGTGGTCATCTAGGGAGTGAACCAGCGGATGGAAGAAGACCTCTCTCTCTGCCTCTTCTTCTCTATCTGTGTAACTTTGCCTTTCAAATAAATGAATAAATCTTAAAAAAAAAAAAAAAGGATATGGTCAGTCTCCAGCAAGATAAACAGAGCCCAAGGGAAATGAAGAACACAGCTGGCATATCAGGCTTCGTCCTGGGCAGACTCTGGCTCCAAGTTCAAGGACTGGAATGAGACACTCCAGGGTAAGAGGCAGCTGGGTCCTCCCACACCTCTTCTTACCACGGGAACTATGGAGGCAAAACCCTGCCCTTAGTGGGCCCAGGGCCCTCATCCAGGATGTGTCAAGGCTCTAGCCCTCTTGGGAGTCTATGGCTTCTGGGGGCCCGGGCTTAGGTCCCAGGCCAGCACAGTCCCTTTGGCTCCTCCTTTGGTCTCTCTGACCCTTGACATCTCACAGACTGGGTGGATTCAGGAGCTGGGGGAGCGGCACATACCTGCGAGTGTGCCCACGCTGATCCCTGACCTGGAGGCTTTTCTTTGTGTTCCCAGAGCAAGCTCGGACAGCATCACGCTGCAGAGGGAGACTGTAGAATGTCTTGGAAGTCAGACCCTGGGGAAGGATGGCTCCCCACCCCTACCCCCACCCCCTGACACTGGTCTACCTGGGGGGTGGGGGTGGTCTTAGGGAGGGTGATGGGATCCCTTTACTTCTGCCCTGGGCTGGGCCTAGACAAGACTGGCAGTGGCAGGGGTGCCACGGTGGGCATGGGACTCAGCCTGGCAAGACATTTTCTCACATTTACCCAGAGTTGCTGCCAATTTTTCTCTCTTTAGCTGTATGGGCCCAAAGGGCATCTACCAAGTGCACCCACCCTCTTCCATTCCCATCCTTTTATCCCATCGATTATCATCTTCTCATCCTTTATCCAGGCAGTGAGCACAAAGGTACTGAGCCTTGATCCCTGCACTGAGCCCGGATCCCTGCACTGAGCCCTGATCCCTGCACTGAGCTTCAGAAGTGCCAGGAGGCTGGAGTATAATTTCTGTGTCTGAGGCTGTTAGTTTCTGCTCTTTTTCTTTCATCTCCCAGTCATTTTCCTGCCAACTGTCAACCACCAGGTGCAAGTTCAAGTGCTTTTCAGGGCCCATCACTTCCTCACAGCTACTAGAGAGGCTGTGGTGTGGAAGAAAGAGACTATTAGCTGGATGGGGAGTCAGGAGTGCTGGGAGCAGGCCTGGGCCTGCCACTGAGCAGCCATGTGACCCAGGTGGGTCACCTCCCTCTCTGGGCCTGGGTTCCTCCTATGAAGCAGGGGCTGCTCCGCCTGGTCCCTGAAGGCCACTTTGAACCTACCAAGCACCATCTTCTCCTAGAAGCCCCCGCCTCTCTGTGCTCATCTGCCCGGAAGTGCCAGGTGGGTTCCTCCAGGAGGGCCCAGACCTCCCTCCCCAGGACACGGAGAGCTGTTGTCTCATCCACACTCCGCTGCAGTTCTATTTGAATACAGTTTTCATAAAGTAACCCCAATAAAACAGTGAGTTCAGGATCCTGAAGTCCTTCTCTGCTCTGGCCAACAACCTTATGTCACCATCAAGCCATCGAGAGTAGAACACGGGACATTCTGGGCTTTGAGAATGGTGCACGCCTCTTCCCGGGGCCTGGCTTTTACTCCTGACTCCTGGACACTGGAGTTCTGAGTTCAAGTTTAGCTCTATTTTGAATCAAGGGTGGGCCCTGTGGATCCTCCCCATAGCTAGGTGCGCCTGGTGATGCATTTAAGTTCCCTGGGCTTCCGTCTCATTCCCTGTGAAGTGGGGACAGTCACTCCTCCCTGGACTGAAGGAGGGAGCCCCAGGCATATGCTAGGAATTGGCCACTGATCACCTCGAGGACACAAGGCTCAGTCTTGGCCTCTGCTCCCAACTTACACAGGGCACAACTTTCTATCTTTTCTGTTATCCAGTGGGAAAACGAGTGAGAGTGGGAACAGGTGTTTTCTGCTGTCCCGGGGAGCATTCAGACAGGTGAGACCAGGCGCTGAGAGCTCGAAGCCTTGCTGAAGCGTCACGCGGAGCTGCTGCAGGGACCTAAAGCAGAAGTGACTGCAGGTGAGGCCGCCACTCCCGAGCCTGACTTAGCAGGAGCGCAGGTGCACGCTCCTCACTGGGCACACGCTTTGCATAAGCCCCATAGACTCTGCTAATTTTCCAGTTCCAATGCGATTTGATTTTCCTACAAGGTGACTTCTCTCTCAGGGACTTTCCCTGCGGGAGGGTTTCCTGGGCACCTGAGCTGGGCAATTTGAAGGCAGGAGTGGAGGAGTGAGGAGACATCACCTCCCCTTCATACACCGCTCAGTGTTTTCCGGGATGCTCAAGTTGTCCAGTTTGGGAAAAGAAGGATGGAAATTATAGCGCCATTCTTTTTTTTTTTTTTTTTTTTTTTTTTGACAGACAGACAGAGTGGACAGTGAGAGAGAGACAGAGAGAAAGGTCTTCCTTTTTGCCGTTGGTTCACCCTTCAATGGCTGCTGCGGCTGACGCATCGTGCTGATCCGAAGCCAGGAGCCAGGTGCTTCTCCTGGTCTCCCATGCAGGTGCAGGGCCCAAGCACTTGGGCCATCCTCCACTGCACTCCCGGGCCACAGCAGAGAGCTGGCCTGGAAGAGGGGCAACCGGGACTAGAACCCAGTGTGCTGCGCCGCAAGGCGGAGGATTAGCCTATTGAGCCACGGCGCCAGCTATAGCACCATTCTATAAGGTATGACAAGAGAATCCAAACTCCATCCCCAGCTCTCTCCCTCCACACATGACTGCGATAGCCTTAGGGACACACACACTGGCCCGTGTCCCAGCGGGGAAGGAGCTCATGTTCTCCTCTGCACGGTGGACTCCTGGGGGCCACGTTCACCCTGTGCTACACTCCATGGTGGGCTCGTTAGGGGGCTGTATGCTGTTCCCTTGCCCTTGACCACTGCTACTCCCTGGTCTGCTTGTCCTCACCTCTGATGCACACAGAGGGGGACAAGGGATGGGCAGCTGAGGGTGAGAGGCCTCCCCGGAGGGGATCTGGCCCATGACCTGGAGTCGGGCCTGTTCTGGGCACGGAAAGAACACAACTCAGAGCGAACATGGCTGAGCTTCAGTCTCCTTTCCCATCTGATCAAAGCCTCGGGGAGGTGGAGGTTCTCCAGAGCTGGCTGGAGTAATCCCCCTGCTCCCTCCTCTGTGTCATGTCACGTGAATGTCCCTTCCTCTGCTGTCCTCACCATGGGCACTGCACATGATGGCCACAGGGCTGTCACGATCCATGATTCCAGGGACAGGCCTGGAAGGTTCCTTGGGATGCTGCACACCGTCTGCCCAGTGGATCCTGGATTGATCACAGCTTTAACTGCTGCCTGGGTTGCAACCAGAGTTGCAATGATGCATGAGCTCCCAGTTCCACAGAGGCAGCCAGGGCCAGCGTTCTGGGCTTGCCTTTAATCTTCCCCACTGCCCTTCCACACAGTGGGGCAGGGGCTGGCACTCGGTGACTGCTTAATAAACTGGACTTTGGGCCTGTCTTCGGATTGAGAGGAACAAGGAAGGCAGGGACACACGACAGAACCGCAGGGCTGGAGAACACATCATTTTATAAGTGCAGGGCCAGGGCACTGGGGGTGGATGAAGGGCACCAGTTTGAAATGTAAATGACAGAAGATCAAATGTAGGTTAAAGAGCCCTGTGCAAAGCAGATTCCCACTCGGTCTTCCACTTCCGGCCCACGCCCCCACGCCCCTGCCTGCCCTTCTCCTCGGCTGGGTGCAAAGGTGTGCAAGAGGAGCTGGGAGCAGGGCCACGCTCAGGGCACCCAGAGAGGGGGCATGGGAGGTGACCCGGGTTCCAAGAACACGGGGAGCAGGTGCAGAAGATCAGCAGACAGATAAGGCTCATTAGCACCAGGCCCCGGGCCCCGGGGCACAGCTGGGGAGGTGAGTCAGGTAGGGAATATTGACGTAGTCGTCTGAATCAGGGTCCTCCATCTTGGCAGCAGGCTGGTGACAGATGGTCACATATTCACAGCTGGTCTGCAGAGTGGCAGCTTGGAGCCAGGGAGTTTCAGGCACCTGGGCACAACCAAAGAGGCGTCACTGGATCAGCATGGGGTGACTTGGGTGTCTCTCACACTGGGACACGAGGAACCTGGTCTTGGTTGCGGAGGCACAGAGGTGGCTGAGCTCCCGCAGGTGAGCCAGTCCTGGGGATATTTAGGGTGGTGCCTCACCCCGGATGGCTGGGAAACCCTTGGAACTAACGTGGGCAGGAAATGCCTCAGACTACAATCATCACCCAAGCATGGGGCCTGGAGATGACCCAGCTGCCAGAGGGGGATAGCCTTGGGGACAAGGTGACATGACGGCTGGGGTAAACATGCCTCTTCCTAGGAAGGGATTCTGAAGATGCGTGAGTCACCTCCTGCCCCTCTGCCAGGGCTGGGCCGGCCGTGGCTGGGCCTGGCAGTGCGTTCCAGGAATGGGCTGGGTGTGGAAGGGGAGGCGGCCACGTGGGCACAGCAGTGCTGGAAGTGTCGGGATCGCCCAACGCCACGATGGTCCGATCCTGGGGTACAGGGCTGTGCCGATGACCCCCACGTAGCACAATGACCATACCCCGAGAAGTCTCAGCACTGGAAGTCCACGGCAGTGCCGCAGGTACTCAGGAAGCACTCCCCCAGAGGAATGGCAACGCGCGGTACTTTGACAGAGGGAAGAAGCAGCGGCTCGCCCCGCAAATGCACCTTCCACTGCCTGTTACGGACCCTCATTCAGGGTTAACGCCCGTGACCTAGAGAATGGACATACTGCACGGTTCCCTCAGTAAGCACGTGCACCTTGCTGCCCAGGAGTCCCACGGGAGTGGGAGTGTCAAGTAGGGAAGCAGGGTGAGTGCAGTGAGCAAGGGGCAAGCTCAGTGCGGGGTCTGTGTGGTCCCAGGGCAGTTCCAGAGAGGAGGCTGCTGGGAGGGGCAGGGTGGACAGGCACTGCCAGGCTTCTCTAGGCTGCAGTGACCTCGCCCAGGAGCAGTGGCTCAGGGCAAGCTCAAGGCACCTGGGCGGTGCTGCTCCTCGCTGCTGGGTGCCACCGTCTCCTTAGCAACGGGCAGAACGGTCCAGCCACCCTGGAAGGTAGGAGCGGCTACAGGACTAAGGTAGGGCCAAGGATGGCGGCGACGTGCGGAGCCTCAGGTCACGGTCCCCTCCCTGCACGGGCGTGTGCGCGTGTGCTGGTGACTCCGTGCCCACCCTGGGCCTGGCACCAACCAGGGGACGGCGGACAGGGAGCGGGTGCCTGCAAGGCCGGGTGGCATAGACCCCCCTGCGCCGGTCCCTCTGCCCCTAGCATTCCCTTGAGAGGCCACTGTCCTGCCATGTCTTGGGTCCGGGCTCTTGAGTCTGTTGCATTAGTGCAGTGGGCACTTTCCTGACAACACTGTTTTTCCCGGCTCCCTGGGGTAGGCAGCCTCTTAGCCACTGCGGGCCACTTCAGAGAAAATGCCTTCTCTTCTCAGCTTGGGGACAGGGAGATGAATGGTGAGGCGGCTTCCCGGAGCTCGGCCCAGGGACTCCTCCCTGGGCCAGGTTATCCTGGCCTTGGAGAGGTTGCTGGAACGTTCTCTCGCAGTCAAGGTGAGACCGCGTGGCTTCCACCCCCGTGCAAGCCCTTCCAGGAATGGCAGTTACGGCTGTCACTCTGCTGAGCCACGGGCAGCCAGCACCCATGCATCGCCGAGCCAGGCCGCGCCCACAACCCCGCGACAGGTCCCGGGGAGTCAGCGGCAGACGCCCGCACCCTGTCGGGAGGCCCACAGAACGCGCCTCGGCCCAGGCGCCAGGAGCTGCTGGAAAAGCGGGGACCCGCTCCCCTGCACCTGCGGGGCCGCGGTGGCCCATCAGGGAGGGGCGGGGCTTACCTGCGGCGGGGTGGGCGGTCCGGAGGCTGCCGGCTCCTCGAGCAGGGCGTCCGGTGCCCCTAAGAGGAACGGAAGGGTCGAGGTGAGAGCGGGCGGCGCTCCCGGGGAGGAGCCGCTGACCCCGCGCCCCGGGTCGCGGCGCCCCGCCCGCCCGGCTGCTTACCCGCAGCGTCCGGCCCCTGAGCGCGGCGCGGGCAGGCGCTGTAGACGTTCTGAGAGCGCGGCCGCGGCGAGGTGCGGGACCGCTGCGCGCGGGGCCGTCGGGCCGCGTCGCGGGCGCGCATCCTCACGGCCAGCCTGCGGACCCGCCTGGAGAAGGCTTCGCGGCCGGGCCGCAGCGGGAGGAGAGGAGAGGAGAGAGGAGCAGGCGTGAGGAGCTGGGGTCGTCTCCCGCGCTCCCCGGCCGGGCTCGCGCGGCGCCGAAGGCCCGGGGACCCCCGCCCAGCCCAGCCCGCGCCCGGGCCCCCAGCTCACCCTTCCGCCTCTCCAGGGCCCTCCTCACCACCAGCCCCAACAGGGCTAGCAGGAGAAAGGCCAGGCCGCTGGGGATGAGGATGTGGAGGCCCTGGTCCCCCGTGCCGGACGGCGGCTCGTGGCTGAGGGCCCTGCGGGGGGAAGGGAGGAAGAGGAGGTCGGCGGCGGGACCCGTGTTTCGGGAGGACACTCGGAGGCGTGGCCCCTGGGGGGTGGGGGGCTTAAAACCCTGTCCTCTTCCCGCAGAGACTTGGCTGTGGAGGCGGGAATCGGGTGCGGATTTGGGTTCTGCGCGTTCCTGGCCGCGGATCTTATCTCCCTTAAGTGGGCGCACGGAGCCGCTGCCCGCGCAGCTCCGCGGGACGGACTGGAGCCGCGGACAGCGAGGCCTGGATGCTCCAGGCACCTCCGTGGGCGGGAGCGCGGGAGTTTCCCGCAGCGGGCCCTCTGCGGGGAGGGCGCTGGAATCCTGTCTCCCCTACCCCGCTCCCCCGTGGGAAGCCGGCGCCATGCGCCCTGAGGTCCCGGTCCTTGCGTGCGTGCCGGGGGCAGCCCCTGTCCTCGCCAGACTTGGCATCTCTAGAGACCGCGGTGATGCGTGGCTCGGTCTTTTCACGCCCTGGGGACGGCGGGTGCCCCGCGCACGCAGCAGGGCCAGGAAGGTGCTGGCCAGGTGCACTCAGCGCCGCCTCTGCGGGCAGGTCGGTGATTGACTGAGCTAGCACTCACTGGTTCTCTTTGAAGCCCCTTAGCGCTCGTGGCCTCAGTTTCCCCACCTACAAAACTTCATTGACGTCGGAGGCCCCTTCCTTACTACCGTGTGTGGTCTTCGCTTAGGCAAAAGTCTCTCCAAGTAGGCTAGGTTTTCTTTGGCGTCTGCGATCCTGCTGCCCCCTCGTGGTGTATTACAGAACTTCCGTAAGTACGGGGAGCCTCACAGGTAGCAGTAAACTTCCTAGTAGCCACATTGAAAAAACGATACTAAGTGGGCGAAAGTGATGCTAGCAGTCCATTTTAATTTTTTCCTTGTTTGGTTCTTCCCCATCAAAACAGAATCGGATCCTCTGAGTGACTGAACGCCCTGGGTCCCCCCTCTCTCTTCAGGGTGGGGCGGGAGCCTGGGGAAGTGCATGCATGAGCAGTGCGCCCGCCCAGGCAGGGTATTCCGCGGGGGCGTCGTCGAGAGAAGCCAGGGAGGGGCTCTACAGCGGGCGCTTAGGGAGATGCGTGGGTCTCTGAGCGGCAGCTGCTTCGCCTGGTTCCCGCCGGGCCAGGCTGGAGGAGGCCTCTTACCTCTGCCTGTGCAGCCGGGTGTGGCGGCTGTAGCTGGCCGTCCAGGGCCTGAGCGGCCCCCCCTGAGCCGAGAACTTTGAGGCAGATGGTGGGAGGGTGGGGGGCCTGGCGGCTGCTCCGGAGAACGCTCTGGAAACTCGAGGTTGGCGAGCGGGCGCGGTGGTCGGGGAGGGCCGGTGGGCTGCAGGGGCCTCGGTGCTCTGAGCCGGTGTGGTTACTGTGAAGATGCGAGGGGAACTGCTGTTGTGTACCTGCTGCGGCTCTGGGCCCAGCAGGATTGGGTCACCACCTTCTTCCCCAGTGCACTCTTCCCTTTACCCAGACCACCTGTGGTCTGAAATGCTTCCTATCTGTACCCAGCCAATTCTTTCTATATTTGCTGCAAATACCACTTCCTCCAGGAAGCCTTCTCTGACTTCCTAGGCAGAATTTGCACTCCTCTGAGCAGGGAGAAAAACCTTGCTTATAGTTCTGATCCCAGTCTGCCTTGTGCTGTATTTGGGGGCTTTATCCTCCCTGATCTGTCACAACCCTGGCTATATGATCTTCTAGGTTACAGCATCCCCTTAGTTCCCAGTAGGGTCTCCTAGTGTAATCTGGCTACCTCCCCAAATGTATGTGAGGGTGTGATGGAAATAGAACGTGTCAAATGCGTTTAAAATTGGAAAATGGCACCAAAATGAAAAGGTATTGTCAGTATGATCATTACTCGTTTTACTGAAGAAAAAAAAATAGAGTTGTTAAAATCGCCAGGGAATAGCAGGTAGAAGTCAGCGCTTTGGGAAGCAAAGACAAAGCATCCTCCAGCTGGGAACCGTCTGCCTGGTCTTGGTTTCTTGCAGTCATTCATAAAAAAGAGGTAGGTTTTGTGAATGGAGCTCGCACTTCCTTCGTTGTGGTGCCCCCTGGTGGTGATGTGTAAGTTCTACAACCAGGGCTCGCTGTTCGGCCCTAGGGTAGGCTTGAAGGATACGGAAGGCAGATCGCAGCCCTGTACCGGCTCCTAAGGCAGGGCAGTCCACGGCTGCGAATCATCTCTGCTCTGCCAGCCATGCTGTGAACGGAACACATACCCCACCCTCCATTTTCGCAGTGACACGCATCTCCCACTCCCACGGTGGCAGACTGACCTTTGGGTGTTAATCTGAAAGAACTGCCAGGTACAGGCATCCGGAACCCGTGAGGCATCTGCAGGTGGGGAAGTCTATAAAGCCACTTCGGAGGCTTGGTTGTCGGCTCCTCTTCCCAGAATGGCTCATACTCTGCTGGAGGCGAGAGGAAGACGGGGGTGATCCCTAGGGGGAGACGGGGGCCTGGGGAAGCGGCTGCTGACCCAGCCAGGGTGGATGGCAGTGAGGGGAAGGAGGGCAGTGTCCACCGAGAGAAGCAGAAAAGGATGTAGGCGGGGTTTTCCCGGAAGGAAATATTCTTTCTCCAGCCCTGTTCATCATGCCCCTGTTTCTCCCAGCCCTGGTCATCAGAGGTGGCTGTGGCATCCCGGCTGAGTGTGTGTGGGCATCAGTGGGAAAGAGGAGGAAGGCAGGGTGCGGGGGAAACCCAGGACGAGCCCTTAAAGCAGTGTGTTTGGCCTATGAATGACTGTGTCTTTGCTGTGCACGCATCCCTGATGTTTCTCTCGGCACAGTTACATGGGACACTTACGACCTTCTAGAAAATCCTGGAGTGTGAAGCTAATGGAGCCTGCAGTTTCACCCGTGTGGACCCCAGTTCTTACTGGACTGAGAGCCCGGGGACTGTGGCACTTAGACGGTTGCCCCGATCTTCCCGCTTAGAAATGCTTTCTGGGCGGGCCAAGGCTCCGCGCAGCCGGGGCACCTACCGCTGTGGACGTTGAGGGCGACTTTCTTGGTCTTGCCGCGGTCTGTGTTAATACCCACTCCGCAGGCATAGATTCCGCTGTCCCTTTCGGTCAGCTCGGTCATCTTCACCAGGAACTGATGCTTTTCTGAGCGCTGCGTCAGAGTGACGCGGCTCTTGTATTCATCCTTGGTGTAGTGGTTGGATACCACGGTAGCACATGCTCGAGACTCAGCCATCTGCCGGCACAGGTACATCCTCCCTTCGACTTCAGGAAGTGGACACTTGATGGTCACGGATCCACCCAGCTCGGCCTCCAGCTGGACTTCTGGGAGGGGCTTCAGAGCCCCAGCTACTGCAGGGAGAGGAAGTTAATGTACAGGGAGCCCCAGCCCTGCTCTGTCCCAACCCATATCCTCAACTGCAGCCTTGCCATATCCCCAGCCTTGCCCTGCCCAGCTGGATACTCACTCCCAGATCCAGCCCCTGCTCCACTGAGCCCGGCGTCAGCCAGCCCTTAACCTCCGCCCTCTCCCGACGTCTGCTTCTCAGCCTCTTAGCTTCTCTTCACAATCTGACGCCAGTTGTCCATGCATCCCTAACCCCGTGCCCAACCCTTAACTTAACCCTCAGCAGCAGCCTCATTGCCAAACCCAATTGTGTAGGGACCCGAACATCAAACCCTGAGGATATAGCTAAAGCCACCACACTCTCCAAGGGGAAAGAATACGGCCCGGTGACTCCAAACATTGTTTATGCTTTCAGCAACTTGCAGTGTTGGGAGGCACAGCAGGGCCACACCCAGACGGGTTTTCTCACCTGGCTTGTTTGGCTCGGATCCAGCGGTCCAGGCATCACTGCACAGCTCTGTTTATTAAATCACTCACCAAGTGTTCATTGACTGCTTTTCATATCTTAGTAAGATAGCTGGTGTCCCTCCCTCCCAGAATGAATGGTCCAGTGAGTGGCACAGTAGACAACCACGATAGCACAGTGTCACAAAGTTCATGATCAAGATCAGAATGGAAAAAGCACAGGCATCCTTGTGGGAATGGATCAGGGATGGTGCCTGACCCAGGCTTTGCAGAGGGATGGTGCAGTCAGTCTCAGAGGGACTTTCTGGGAGAAGTGTGGTATGGAAGTTGTGACCTGGGCAGAAGAGAGTCCTCAGACTTCCTGAGATTAAGCTACAGAGCATGTGCTAAGAGCAACTCTGGGCTGGCGCCACGGCTCACTAGGCTAATCCTCTGCCTTGCGGCGCCAGCACACTGGGTTCTAGTCCCGGTCAGGGCACCAGATTCTGTCCCAGTTGCCCCTCTTTCAGGCCAGCTCTCTGCTGTGGCCCTGGAGTGCAGTGGAGGATGGCCCAAGTGCTTGGGCCCTGCACCCCATGGGAGACCAGGAGAAGCACCTGGCTCCTGGCTTCGGATCAGCGCAGCGGGCCGGCCATAGCAGCCACTTGGGGGGGGTGAACCAACGGAAAAAGGAAGACTTTTCTCTCTGTCTCTCTCTCTCTCTCACTGTCTAACTCTGCCTGTCGAAAAAAAAAAAAAAAGCAACTCCGAAGACTTCAGTCCAAAAGAGCGCCAAGGGAATCTTTAGAAGAGAGGAGGGACTTCCGGCCTCTGCCTGTGGACGTCCAGTGGAGGGGAGAACGCGGAGCAGGGTCAAGAGCCAGAAAGGATCATGGGAGGGGCATCGGTGGCTGTCACGGCAAGCGCCGAGGTCTAAGAGGGCAGGGGTGCTGACGGGGGAGGGAGAGGCAGAGGGGCCTGCCCGAAACTCGAGACCAGACATGGAAACTTTCACACGAAAAACCCAGCTAGTCTCACGACGGGAACGTGGCAAGGAAAGGGTGACCCGTTCACAATGTTCCGGGTGAGGGGGTGAGGGGCTCGCCCTGAGCGTCTGGAGGGCCTGCACCCATGTGGGAAGCTGAACACTCCGTGTGCAAGCGCATGGGTGTTTCTGGGTGAGGCCGATCTGGCTGGAGAGGAGGCGTGAGCGGCGCTTCCCCAGGAGCAAGGTGTTATGAAACGGGTGCCCTGGGCAGAGAGGGGGTCATTGCCTGTGTGGACACCTCTGGCAGCTCAGTCTGCTCAGGGTTGACCGCCTGGGGCAGCCCTGCCTTGCTGGGTCCTCACTGAGCAAACACCAGTTGGGTGCTGTGTGACGCACAGGGCAAGCTGCCGGGTACAGTGAGCTCCTGTCAACAAGGACATTGTTTGTGATGTGAAAATGACCAGAGTCCAGGAGAAATGAAAACAAAAAAATCGAAAAACCTCTCCTTGGAGTTTTTGGTAGCTTTTTGACCTATGCCCAAGACTTTGAAGAGAAAAAGATGGACATAAGTGTAACCTCCTGGGTTGCAATGCTAAGACGGCAGTGTTGCCCAAGATTTCAACCAGAGAGAGCAGGTGTTTAGAGGTTAAGACAGCCACGTCCCACCTCGGACCTCCTGGGTTCTACTCCTGTCTAATGCTGACCCTGGGAGCAGTGGTGATGGCTCGAATAATTGAGTTCCTGCCATCCATGGGGGAGACCTGCATTGCTCTCCTGGCTCCAGCCTTGATCCAGCCCCGGCTGTTGGGGGCATTTGGGGAGCGAATCAGCAAAGAGGATCTCTCTGTGTCTCTCTCTGTCTCCCCCAGAGAAAGAGAGAGAAAACAATTCATCTAGGGGAATGTTCAAAGATGCAGTCCACCTAGTGCTACCCTGTGGCAAAGGATTACATCTGTCTGGGCTGGGACATATGAAGGCGTCCCAAGTGCCCTGCATTTCTGCAGTCCTGGGATGTGCGAGGTCTTCAAAAAGTTCATAGAAAATGCACATTATGAAAAATCTCTGCACGCATTTTTTTCAAATCCTTTTTGTGCTGAAATAAGCTATTTTCCCAAGAACTTTTTTTTTTTTTTTTTTGACAGGCAGAGCGGACAGTGAGAGAGAGAGACAGAGAGAAAGGTCTTCCTTTTGCCGTTGGTTCACCCTCTAATGGCAGCCGCGGCCGGCGCACTGCAGCCAGTGCACCGCGCTGATCCGAAGCCAGGAGCCAGGTGCTTCTCCTGGTCTCCCATGCGGGTGCAGGGCCCAAGCACTTGGGCCATCCTCCACTGCATTCCCGGGCCACAGCAGAGAACTGGACTGGACGAGGGGCAACTGGGACAGAATCTGGTGCCCCGATCAGGACTAGAACCCGGTGTGCCGGCGCCGCAGGTAGAGGATTAGCCTAATGAGCCGCGGTGCCGGCCCCAAGAACTTTGGAAGGTACCCTCAGTTATAACCGCACGCACAAGAAATTCCAGGGAAGAAAGGGAGGCCCAGGAGAAGGTGTTTACTAGCACTAATCCATTTCGTGTTACTCTTCTAGAAAGCTACTAAGCAGGCGGCATTAATCTCTAAAATGATGACTTGATTTTCCGGGGTAAAGCTAGGGGGACATATGTGCGTTGAAGAGCGGCTCTGGGTATCGTTACAGATGGGCTGGAAATGCAAGTGGGTGGGGGGCACAAAACCGCCCTGTAGTAAGGTGAGGTCCGTGGGTGGCTGAGGACGCACTGGTGATGGGCTCTGCTCCAGGGTTCCTAGCGGGAGAAGGAGGGGGACCTGACAAACACAGATAAGGCCAACATCTCCGCAAGAGGACAGCCGGCCAAGGTTTTGCTTATCAGAAGGGACCCAGGGTTATGAAACAGCCTCCTCCTCTGTGTACTGTAACCTCAGGTGCCCAGGCCCTGCTGACCTCCTGTCCTGTCCCAGTGATTGGTGCGTCCAATGACTGACAGTCCCACCTCCCATCAAAGGTCGTTCTTTCACCAGTATCCTGAGCCTGCCCTTCTCACCTGGCTTAGAACTTCTCTCCCACATTGATCCCTTTCTCTGCCTGCACCGTTGGTCCCCCTCCTCCCCCGGCACTGCCGTGAGCCCCTGCCCTGTGTACTCCCATCACCCATCTTTGAAGACCCTTCAGTGGACCTTTGGCCTCCCTTCCACCTGAGACCCCGGTTCTGTGTCGTTTCCCGGGTGCGAAATCAAGTTCACACTGTCCCCTCCTGCTTCTGAGACACCATATCAGCCGTTGGTGCTCCTTCCCTGTCCTTCTCCCCAGCTGGGAGAGGCGTAGGCCCAGTCGTGGTTCTCTCCCCCTTCTCCCCTTGCTAGCTTTTTGACTCTGGTGGCTTTTAGTGCCAAATTTTGGTAGACATCACCTAAACATGAATTTGTATCTATCCCAGAGACCAGCTTTTCCTCTTGGACGTTGTCACTTGAGTACCTAAAATGTATGGCGAACTCACAACACACAACAGTTCCTTGAACACTCTTCCCAGTTCAGAAAATAGGACTAGTCTCCATCCAACTGTGGCGGCCAACACCTATCCTTGTATTACAGAATCAAGACTACATCTTAGGGCTGCGTGTGTGTGTGTGTGTGTGTGTGTGTGCATGTGTTATTGTTGTAGGTCAAGACAAAAAAGACTTGAAAGCCCACACTCTGTGTTACCTCCTTGCTTTGCAATGGAACTCCATATAGGGTCTGGGGAGCAGTCAGTGGGGGATCATGCCTGGGGAGCAGGCTCATCCCAACATTTTGAGACCTGGGAGAGGAGTGAAAATGAAGGCCCAAATATCATGTATCAGAGCCTTTTAAAGTTGTAACCCAGGAGGAGTCTTGGCCCGTGGTTAGGATGCCGCTCGGGACGCCTACATCCCACGCTGGAGTGCGGGGTTGAGTGCTGGCTCCCCTGCCTCTAATTCTGCTTGCTGCTACTGTGCGCTTGGAAAGGCAGCCAATGATGGCTTGAGTACTTGGACCCCTGCCTTCAGTGTGGGAGACCTGGATTACGTCTGGGATCCCGACTTGGGCTGGGCTGTTATGGACATTTTGGGGGGTACACCAGCAGATGGGAGATTACTCTGTGTCTGTCTACCTTTTGAACAAAATGAAAATACAAGGCTGGCGCCATGGCTCACTTGGTTAATCCTCCGCCTGCAGCACCGGCATCCCATATGGGCGCTGGATTCTAGTCCCATTTGCTCCTCTTCCAGGCCAGTTCTCTGCTGTGGCCCGGGAAGGCAGTGGAGGATGGCCCTGCACCCGCACAGGAGACCAGGAGGAAGCACCTGGCTCCTGGCTTCGGATCTGCATAGCGCCGGCCATAACAGCCATTTTGGGGGTGAACCAATGGAAGGAAGACCTTTCTTTCTCTCTCTCTCTCTCTCACACTGTCTAGCTCTATCTGTCAAATAAATTTTAAAAATTAAAAAATGCATAATAAATCAAGCAAATAAATTATTGAATGCAATTGTATTTCCCTATCCTTTAAAAAGTTCTCCTATTTTGGCTGGCACTGTGGCTCAATAGGCTAATCCTCCGCCTGCAGCGCCGGCACACTGTATTCTAGTCCCGGTCGGGGTGCCGGATTCTGTCCGGGTCGCCCCTCTTCCAGTCCAGCTCTCTGCTGTGGCCCGGGAGGGCAGTGGAGGATGGCCCAAGTCCTTGGGTCCTGCACCCGCATGGGAGACCAGGAGGAAGCACCTGGCTCCTGGCTTCAGATGGATCAGCGCAGTGCGCCGGCCGCAGCGCGATGGCCGTGGCGGCCATTGGAGGGTGAACCAACGGCAGAGGGGGGACCTTTCTCTCTGTCTCTCTTTCTCTCTCACTGTCCACTCTGCCTGTAAAAAAAAAAAAAGTTCTCCTATCTTGACAAATCCACACACTCCATGGATGTCCAGTCCAAAACACGGCTCTGCAGGCTTCCTGCCCCCATCTCCTGCCATCTTCCTTCTCCTTTCAGCCCTGACGCTTGCCTGCCCCACACGGGGACAGGGGGACACACACACTGGGTCTGCAGCATGCGTGTACACACACATCCACCCCTCCCCGAAGGGTCACCTGTGCCCCTTTTACAAGCGTCGGCGTCAACCTCAATAAGGAGACCGGGATAGAAGCTTTGAAACTGCATCCAGAGTCTTCCGGACAGCAAACTGCAGTTCGAGCTGAGGGACTGTGGATGTAGGCATGGGGTGGACGCATTCCCGTGGGCCTGAGAACTCACCCCTCCGGGGGGTCGGGCATCACTGGAGAAGGAAGGGGCCCAGCTGGGATGGTGACCCTGCTCAGGAGAGACTGAGGTGGCACTATGTAGGGACACCTCTCCCCTAAGGGTCTTCCTCTCCCACCACCCCTGCCCTGTTCCTTATCAGGCCTTGGGCTGCTTAGCCCTCCACCTTGTGCCGCCCCCAGGGGCTGGTCTCTCCCCACCAGTAAAGCATTGTTCCTTTGGACTGTTAGCACTTTTCCATCCCGAATGCCACAAATATTTGCGTTTCTTCCACACTCAAGATACCACACGGAAAGCTAATGAAGAGCAACCATTTTAAGGCGCGAGCGACTTATCATTTCATAAACCAAGTGAGATGGACACGTGCCGAGCCACGGCCCGAGACAGAACGCGATCGGTGACTGGAGTTCGGAAGAGAAGGCTCAGAAAGTCTACGAGAGGAAGATGGAATTTGAGAGGAACATTGAAGGACCCATAAAAGGTGCAGGTGAGAGCAGGGGTGCTGCTGCTGGTGGAGGCCACACAGCAAGCACGGGCCGGGTGGCAGGGGTGCACGGCGCCTGTCCTAGGGTGAGTCCAGGCTGGCTGCAGGTTGGGAGAGTGCGGGGGTGTGATAGGCTGGGTGGGTCAAAGGGCAGTCCAAAGTGTGTGCGATTAGCTCTGTGGGTGCTGGGAGCCGTGGAAGGTTCTGGGTAAGGGGAATCCTATGATCAGCATGGAGCCTTAGGAAGACTCATCAGGAGTTGCACGCAGGCTGAGTTGGAGGCGTGGGAGGGATAGTTAAGAAACGGGCAGATTGTGAGTCAGTTGTGAGGTGAATCAAAGCCGGGGCAGGTGGTCAAGAGGCCTCCTGGCATCCGTGGCTAATGTCAGAGACAGGGCAGACACACAGTCGGTTCAGATGGTGAGAAAGGAGGAATTTGAGAGAAAGTGTTGTGGTGCTGCAGTTCAGGTGCTGGGAGGGGATGCTGTTGAAGTCGGGGTGCCCCATGACAGCTGGAAGCCGAGATGCGGGATTCGGCAACTGGGTGCTAGCCACTGAAAGGGGGAGAGAGTCTTGCCTGAGAGTGGCGCCTTGGAAACTCAGGTTTGAGGATGTGGAGGTGCAAGGAAAGAACCTTGGAGGTACCTGCCTTTCCATCCCTAAGAGTGGGCTGCACTGTGCAGGACAGGTGACGCCTGCAGCCCAGGAGTTAACACCTGGCGCGCCTAGGAGAACCGTCTGGAGTAGAGAGGGGGAGAGGGAGGCTCCCAACCTTGTCCTGCCCCGGTTCCAGGTTGCATCTGAATCTGTCCAGAAACATCTGAGCTGGAGGTTGCCTGTGGTCAGTTTCAGCCTCCCGGGGAGTCTCAGGTGCTTCCCCAAGTACTTACCTGGCAGGAAGCAAAGCAGCCAGAGGCGGAAGTCCATGGCTCCTTCCCGGGCAGGATCCCATCCAAGAGGCGCTGGAGAGCAGAGAGAGACCTGCTGCTCGCCCGGAGTCCTCCACAGAGCGGGGCCTCCAGGAGATCTCTGGCCTCGTTGAGGAACAAGGCTTGCAAATGAGGAAATGACAACCTGTCTTGTTTGCTAGCTTGTCTTAGGCTAAAAAAGAAAATGCCATCAAACCACAGCGGAAGTCAGGAGTTGAGAAAACATGTTGTGTTGTGTGAGCACAGGTCACCGGGGTTCAAGGTGTCTCTAGACACCCTCAAGGCTGGTGGCAAGCGCAGGCCTGGCCTTCCTTTGCCTTGGCACTTTTTCTTGGACAGGCATCTCATGCTTTTTAGGAGCGTGTATTTTTCAAGTGTTTGTTTTCATTTATTTGAAAGGCAGACTCTCTCTCTCTCTCTCTCTCTCTCACACACACACACACACACACACACACATCTTCCATTTGCTGGTTCACACTCCAAATGCCTGCAATCTCCAGGGCTAGGCCAGGCCAACACCAGCAGCTAGGAATTCCATCTGGACCTCCCACCTGGGTGGCATTGGACCCAAGTACTGGAGCCATCAACCGCTGCCTCCCAGTGTGCATTGGTAGGAAGCTGGATCAGAGGTGGAGGCAAGATTCGAACATGGGCACGCTGGTGTGGGCTGTGGGCTGCCCTGCCCTGCCACAGTGCCTGCCCCATAGGAGATATTACTGGACTCTTGGGCTGCAGGCCTTGCCTTGTTCCCGACCTCAGGATGAAAGAGCTTCATCGCCAGTCTGCCTCAGCTGGTAGAGACACCCTGGCATGGCCTGGGACTCAAGTCAGATGATTTCTTTGTCACCCTACCCCATTGCCAGTAAACCAGTGGACAAAGTCCTCTGGGCATCAACGGGTGGGGATGCTGAGCAGGGACTCTGAGCGATTCTCGGCTCTTCTGTGAGTCTCGCTTTTCTCATGTGGGGAATAAATGGGGGTGGGGCTGTGTGAGCCCCCCACTCCCACCCCGCCAACAGCGTCCCTGGGCCTCACTAAGCTGACTCAGCACCTCGCCACCCCTCAGCCCTCCCCTCACCCAACCGTCCCCTCAGTGCTGCCTGCCAGCAGGGCCCACACTGCTGCCCCGTGACCGCTGGGCATTGCCTGAGGTTCAGTGGCCTGGCAGGGCCACCATCCTTTGGGACCACAGGGCCCACGAGCGGAGCCCTTTGAGGGTCGGAGGACAGAGGGATCTGCCAAGGCCATGCAGGATCAGGCAAACAGCTTTTTTTTTTTTTTTTAAGATTTACTTATTTATTTGAAAGGCGGGGGGTGGGGGTGGGGGAGAGAGAGAGATTGGGAGGGAGAGAGGTCTTCCATCTGCTGATTCACTTCCCAGATGGCCACAATGGCTGGAGCTGGGCTAATCCGAAGTCAGGAGCCAGGAGCTTCTTCCAGGTCTCCTATGCGGGTGCAGGGGCCCAAACACTTGGGCCATCTTCCACTGCTTTCCCAGGCCATTAGCAGGGAGCTGGGTCAGAAGTACAGAAGCTGGGACTCAAACTGGTGCCCCTATAGGATAAGGGCCCTGCAGGCGATGGCTTTACCCACTGCGCCACAGTGCTGGCCCCAGGCAAACAGCTTTGGATGTTGGGTAGAGACCTGAGTTCTTGTCCTGGCCTGGCACTTTCTGGCTGTGGGTAAGCTTCCCTAGGCCTTAGTTTTTGTCGTTGACCAAACAGGGCTGGCCCCTGCCTTGCCCACCCCCCACAGTTTTGGGAACACCTAGCAGACACCACAACCGTGGAAGTGCTGTAAGATCCGTGTGGTGTGGAGGGGTGCAGGGCTGTTACCTATGGGGGCCCCAGAGCCATGTTCCCAGATGCTTCATTCCGGGATGGTGGTTCTGAGTGCCTGCAGATCTGGCGCCTCTTGTGCCCACGGGGGATTCAGGCTGTTCCCACGTGGTTGGTGGGGCAAAGCAGGGGGAGGCTGCCAGGGCCACTGGCTCCTGAGCAGTCACGGGCACAGCGTGCGACACACACCCCCGCACTTGCTCCCATGTGCCAGATTTGTCACATGCTGTCCAAAGCACAAAACAACAAGGTCAGGGAAGTTGAACGTGGTGCTCAGAGCAGGTGCAGAGGAAGCGTGCGTGGGGGTGATGGGCCTGCCCTGCCCCACCCCTCTCTGGGCCTCCACTGGCCAAGCAGCTGTAGTTGTAATATCTTCCAGCCGCCAAATGGCCAAAGGTGTCAGGGGACCGAGTGCCCGAGGTCTCAGTGGGGTCGGCTCCCTCCTTTCCCTGTTGAGTAGACTGCTTTCAACACGCCGCAGCTGGGCTCTGCTTGGAGACCCAGGGGGAGGGAGGGAAAGAGCAAATATGAAGGAACGAATGAATGAAATGTATGTGTGTGACTATGGGTGGGAATGTGTACGTATGTGTGTGTGTGCTTTGTGATGTGTGTTGTGCTTTGTGTGAGTGATGTGCAGCCACAAGTATATATGTGATGTGTATGACATTAGCACCTGAGTGTGTGCTGGTGGGCAGTGTGGTGTGGTTGTGAGCACATGAGGCATGTTGTGTGATGTGTCAACATGTGTGATGTGTAAGCAGGCGATGTGTATGATGTTAGCATGTGAGTGTGTGCTGGTGGGCAGTGTGGTATGCTTATATCTCTCTCCCTTGGGCTCCCACGTGGGCAGGCTCCAAAGTGCCACCTCCTGGGCCTTTCCAAGTGGAGGGACTCCACCACCCATAAGCAGCCCTCCTGCTCCATACAGCAGAGACCATGAGGATCCCCTCGCCTGATGGACGTGCCCAGGGGCCCCTCCTCCTGCCCTAGCAGAGGCACCTGGCTCTGGCATCCTTCCAGGGACTCAGCGCAGCCTTGCCTGCCCCAGAGCGAGCCACTCCATAGGAGCAGGACCCCTCACTACGGGCCTGCTTATGACTTTCTTCTAGAAAAATGTGGCAGAATGTCGGTGACTAGGATCTGTCTCCTGAATGTGGCGTATTCCTGTTGGTCTTCAAAGGTTGAAACCCCACATAGGTAGGCATCTTGGACACATTTTAATGTGCTTAATCAGCAAAACTCTGGACTTTAGAATATTCATGTTCTCATGTCTAGGACAAAGAGTTTTGGCTCTCAAGAGAAAGCATTGACTGTTCCCTTCTTTATTTTAAAATTTACTTATTTATTTTGAAAGCCAGAGTTAAAGAGAGAGAGAGAGAGAGAGACAGAGAGACAGAGACAGAGCGATCTTCCATCCACTGATTCACTCCCCAGATGACTGCAATGATCAGTGCTGGGCCAGGCGGAAGCCAGGAGCCAGGAGCCAGGAGCTCCATCCGGGTCTCCTACAAGGGAGACAGGGGCCAAAGCACTTGGGCTAACCTTTGCTGCTTTTCCCAGGCCATTAGCAGGGAGCTGGATCAGAATGTGGAACAGCCAGGACACGAACCGGGGCCCCTATGGGATGCTGGTGTGGCAGGTGCCGGCTTTACCCGCTACGCCACAGTGCCAGCCCTGCCAGCCCTGCTGGCCCTTTTCCTTATCAACCTGGGGGAGAAGCTGGAGAAGTGCTTGGCTCACTGTGCGGTCTCCGCTCCCTGCCTGCTGCAGCCCCGTGGCCGGCGGGGGCCGCTGGGCTGTGTGACCCCTTCTCGCTCATATGAGATGACTTCTTATTTCTACAGCCGTCTCCTGTACAGCTAATCATGCCGGGGAAGCAGGGGGTGGGGAGGCACGGTCTCCTCGCTTCTCTGGCCGGGGGACCGCAGCACAGTCAGTCCTCTCCACTGCCTACTGTTCTTGGGAGAGATGTTCTATCTTGTGTCTTAAACAAATTAGAGATCTTTAAAATTTTTTTTTTAGCTTTACAGAACAAAACCAATTGCTGTAAGCAAATTTCTAACCCCTGCTGGGGCTCAGTAATGCACAGTCATTTCATTATATAATGGACTTTCAGTGAAGAACCACCAAAATAATTCAAGAAATGGGGAAAGTCTTCCTTGTGGCCAAATATTTCAGGCGTGCCCTGAGTGTTGGCTGTGCACTATCATTGTTCATTGGTTACCAGCGTCAGTCCCTTTGTTGATGTCCCTTCCCTGTACTGGGCCGAATAGTGGTCCCCCCACCCTCGATCCCTGTCTGCCTGGAACCCTGCACCAGCTTCCTTCCTCTTTTTTTGAAATATTTATTTATTTAAAGGTTTATTTTATTTATTTGAACGGTAGAGTTACAGAAAGCGGGGGGGGGGGTATCTTCCATCTGCTTGTGCAGTCCCCAGATGGCTGTAACGGCCAAGGCTGGGCCAAGTAGAAACCAGGAGGCAGGAGCTTCTTCCGGGTTGCCTAAGTGGGTGAAGGGCCCAAGCACTCGGACCATCTTCCACTGCTTTCCCAGGCACATTAGCGGGGAGCTGGATAGGAAGTGGAATAGCCAGGACTTGAACTGGCGCCTGTATGGGAAGCCGGCACCACAGTGGCAATTGCACTCACTGTGCCACAAAGCTGGACCCTAGAGATTCATCTATTTATTTGAAAGTCAGAGTTACAGAGAGGGAGAAAGAGGGAGAGACACAGGGAGAGAGATTTTCCATCTGCTGGTTCACTCGCCAGGTGGCTGCAATGTCCAAGGCTGGGCCAGGCGGAAGCTAGGAACCGGAAGCTTCTTCCAGGTCTCCCATGTGGATAGCAAGGGGCCCAAGTACTTAGGCCATCTTCTGCTGCTTTCCCCAAGCCATTCGCAGGGAGCTGGGTCGGGAATGGAGCAGCCGGAACACGAACCAGTGCCCATGGGGGATGCTGGTGTGGCAGGCGGTGGCTTTGCCCACTATGCCACAGCACCAGTCCCACCGTCTTGTTTCTTCATGAAGACCTCTCAGTGCAGCGGGTTGTACCAGAGCAGGTGAACTTTGGGCAGCACCTTGCGATCCTCGCTGTCACCTGTCGGTGACATTCCTTGGCCTTTGACCTCAGGAACTGGGCCAGGGTACATGAGCTCAGGATTGGCTTCAACACAGAAGCTGAATCTAACCCTTTGGTGGGTCACAGAGTGCTTCCTGGAGTGTGTGTGTATGTGTGCGCGTGCATCTATGGTGGGGCGTGGGCGGGGGTGATGTCTGCCATTACTTGCAGTTTTTCTGGGAGATGCTGATTATGCATCCCACCCTAGAGGAGAGAGAAACGAACATTCCTGATGGCAGCCTCTGCTGCTGGGCAGGCGTTCAAGGCTCTGAGCCCAGCAGGGACCTTGGCGATTGCACTGGGCACTGCGGTTGGTGGGGCTGGCAGGTGGGGACCAATGGAGGATGAGGGAGCTCTGGCAAGGGCAGGCGCAGAAAGCAAACAGTGTCCGGGGCGTTCGGTTCAGGGCCTGGGTGAAGGCACAGGTTCACCCTGGGCAGACTGGGAGAATTGCACACGGGGTCCCCAGAGATAAGGATGAGGCAGGGTACAAGCTGCCCGGGGGGAGTTTCAGCTATGAAATGAGACATGGTTTGGTGCCAGAACCTAGGCTAACTCATCTGAATAGGCAAGAGGATCCTTGAGCTAAGCACTGTGCCTCCAAAAGAGACTTTATAAACCCTACGCTGTTACTTAATCAGCTTCCAGTTGAAAATCCCATGGAAAGGACATATTTATGTGGTCACCAGATGTGATTAGCAGCCTCTTGGTCTTGTGTGAGGGACCCTGGGAAGTGTGAGATTTAAGAATAAGCACCCCCTGGGGGCCAGCGTTGTGGTGCCTGCAATGCCAGCATCCCATGTGGACACTGGTTCAAGTCCCAGCTGCTCCACTTCCGATCCAGCTCCCTGTTAATGTGCCTGGGAAAAGCAGCAGAAAATGGCCCAAGTCCTTGGGCCCCTGCACCCACATAGGAGGCACAGTTGAAGCCTTTGGCTTCTGGCTTTGGCCTGGCCCAGCCCTGGCCGTTGCAACTATTTTGGGAGTGAACCACTGGGTGGAAAATCTCTCTCTCACTGTCTATATGCCTCTCTTTTTCTTTCTGCGACTCTGGTTTTCAAATAAACAAATGAAGCTAAAAAAAAAAAAAAAACACCAACAACAAAGAGTAAGCACTTCCTTGGTGCTTTACTAAGACGTCCAGCAGGAGCGCCGGTCTTAGCTGCCCTGAGTTTTCTCCCACTGTACAGTCTCGTGTTTTGGAACATGGCGCTGAGGGTCTTGACTACTGGTGGGGACATGGGACGTTTCTTTAATTGAAGGGCATCTGGGTCTTATTTTTAGGCGCTCTCCCAAGCACCGCTCAGGCCAGCCGTGGAGGTGGTGGGGGAAGTTCAGTGTGGACACACGTCCTGGGGCGCTGAAGTCTGGGATGGAAGCAGCAGGTTCTGGGAGTGTTGTCTGGGAGACCGAGGGTACAAGAGACAAACGCAGCCGAGCCTCCCCAGTGGCAATCACAATGTTTAATGATTAAATCACATTTCTGATTTGTTAGCAAGGGTCAGCCCGGAGGTGCTGGTTAAAGCTCACAGGGACAAGGACCTTAAACTTCAGCTGTCTGGGGATCAGGCCCTCCCCGGCACTGACAAACACCCTCTTTTCTTCTTTCCACTGGGAACTCTTCAGACACACGGGGCACGAATGCTCAACTCCGCAGGTCCCCGAGAGTGACAGAAAAGGAGGGGGCCTTTTCCCCCGTGGGGGCCTGGGAGAGGTCAGCGTCCATTTCCATCCCCCTCTTCTTCTTCCATGTTCTAAAACTCTGCTTCCTACAGGGGCAGGGGCTCCTGTGGAGAGACCTCTGGCCAAGAGGACAGCAGAAGCCCATCTAGTTTGCTGTTGCTCCATCTCGCAGGGTGCCCTTGAGTACAACCTCAGTGTTCTCATCTGTAAAATGGCGAGAACATGTGTCTGGGGTGACTTGCAGACACGCCCAGGGCACACAGCCTTCAGACGCTTGACATCTCCTGATACTGGGGAGGACAGGAGGCCTGAGTGAGGATACACAGCCCGGGAGGAGCCCTGGCTTCCTCCAGTGATGTTTGCAGAACGGCTTCGAGGAGGCGTGCGGCCAGCGCCTGGACCCTAGGCAGCAGCCACTGGGACTTTTGAATGAAGGAAGGAGGGTGGGGGCAGGGAGGGAGGGGGTGGCCGGAAAGCGCCTCTGGCCTCCCATCCAAGGGCTCCTCCCCCCTCTCTGGTCTGTCTGCCTTCGAGAGGCCCCTCCCTCAGGACCTGGATCCTTAGCTTCTCTCGGGAGAACCGGGCTGCAAGTAGGAACCCCTCACACCCCCACCCCAACGGGAACATTGAGCCAGGCCTGGATGCCGTGGAGGAGGGGACCAGCACACCTCTGGGCACAGGTAGGGAAGTTTAGGTGGTGGGGACATGGGGGGTGCAGGCGGTTGAGCCCCCGGCTCTGGGGACCCCGAGGATCAACGTGATTCTGGAAGGTGATTTTCACAGGTGGCGGCGGCGGCGGCGGTGGCGGCGGCGGCGGTGGCCGGCTGTGCCTAGGCCTCCTTGGGGCCATCTTGGTGCTCAGCAGCTATGGTGTTGGATTGGAGCAGGAAAGCTGAGTAGGCCAGGTCGGCTTCTTCCTTGGATGACTGGGGAGGCAGCGAGAGAGGAGTCAGCAGGCGGGGGCAGGAGCCAGGGGAGGCACCGGGGGTCCTGAATCTGGGATCCCAGCTCCGGCAACCCCAGCTTGCGTGACCCACGGTCCTCATTCCAGCCCCCCCCGCTCAGCAAAGGAGGACTAATTTTGAGAAATGGAAAGTTGCAGCCTCTAAAAATATCTGCCTCTGTCTCACTACCTCCTTCCGACACGTGGAGTGGAACCATCTCTGCTGCCCGGGCCTGTCCCCGGAAGCGGGGCCCACGTAGGCCACGGGCGAGGCCAGGCGGGCAAGGTCACGGCTTTCCTTCTCCACTGGCCCAGGGGGGCTGCTTTTCAGCACCGTTGGGCGGGAGGGGAGGGCTGACTCAACTCCTTCTCACATTGGCACCCAGTGCCGGGGCCTCTGATGCTGGAGGGAAAGCAGACAACAGCAAGAAGCCACCAAGCCTCCCTCTAGGGCCCCTGAGTGCTGCCCGAGGGGCAGTGAATATATAGCTCAGAGGCAGGAGTTGCTTCTGGTGGGGTTTTGCGTGATGGGGTGCTTGGTCCAGGTGGGCAGGGACCTCTGGTGCCCACCACGAGCGAGCATTGTCCACAGCCAGGCCAAAGCTGGTCCAAGCACCCCATCAAGGGGGGCCAGGTGACCCTAGGGACACGGGTTCCACAGCCCGGGACCAGCATGCACCTGACACCAGCATTGGACCTGTGCCCGCATCTTTCAGACACCTGCCCTCCTCACCTCTCAGTTTCCCTCCCTGCCACAGGGTTACAGCCTGGAAACGCAGCTCACCCCTCTCTTAGCCTCATCCTCACCCACACCGCCCAAGCAGGAGGGGCTACCTCTCCTTCAGAAAGTCCTCCTGGGCACAGCACCATCTCCCCCAGTCGGGGCTCAGCCGACACGTGGGGCGCGAGCTTCCTGACACCGGCCTGCGGTGCCCTGGAGCCACGCAGCAGGGGCCTGCTTCCCCCTCCTCACCCTTACCCGTTTTGCCTTCTTGGGCTCCTCAATCTCCACGGTGCTCTCGGTGGCCGTCGCTAACTCTGCACACATCAGAGAGGGGTGGGTGAGCCTTGCGCGTGCCCTGTTCCCACCCTGTACCCCTGCCCAGGGTTCTTGCCCTCCCCAGGAGTGGAGCACTCCCCCCAGTGAGGGACCTACCATCCTTTCCTCCGAGGGCCGTCTCCCGGGCATCGGGGCAGGCGCTTGGGTTGTCAATGGCTCCGAACTCCCTGGAGTTCTCCAAGTCTGACATGCTAATGTCTGTCCTGTAGCTTCCGATGGAAACTCGGTCTGTCCGAGACAAAGAGGAATTGGGTCGGGGCAGAGCAGACTGGCATGTGCCGCTCCCCCTGGGCTGAGCATGGTGGCCCCACAGGTCAGCTGAAGGGGTGGGGGTCCCTAGGGGCTCCCCTCTGACCAGGACCCAAAGCAGAAGGAAGAGGGCAGAGCCTCCTCCCAGTCCCTCTCCAAGGTGATCAACTCCTTGTCCCTCGGCCTTTGTCTGCCACCGAGTGACTGTTCAGTGCGTGCGCCTCGTGTGGTCCTCAGGTCAGCTCTGTGGGGCAGCTATTATTGCCCCTGTCTTGAGCCGGGGGGAAACTGAGGCACGGGCCGGGGACATGCCCAGGTCTTGATGGTGATCACACCAGGCCAAGACCCAGGCCTTTGCTTCCTGCTCTCCTCTTCTGTGGCCTGGCCTCCGAACCTGGACCCCGGGGCAGAATTTGAGCAGAAGTGCTGAATTTGCCATGCGGGGGTGGGTGGAGTCATCTTTCCCAGAATCCCTTGTCTGTGCCTAGGCAGGCAGGACACAGCCTCCTCTGTGGGCAGCTGTGGCAGGACATTGTTGGCGGGGGCACCTGGGGACTCACCCACGTTCCTCCTGTGCCGGGCTCTGGCTATGGCCACGGCCATGGCCCCCGCTGCCAGCACCAGCCCCAAGGGCACCAGGGTGGAGATCAGTACTTTGGCACTCCCGCTTTGTCCCGAAGCACTGGAGAAAGGAGAACGTTGGTTAATCCCCGCAAGGGAGCCCCAGGGCGTGGAGGTACTGGTGGCTGGGCTGGGGCCCCCGGGTCCACCCAGTGTGCCCGTGCAGCTCCCTAGCCCTGCTTCTCCAGGAAGCCTTCCCAGGCAGGGCGAAGGCAAGGACTGGGCCTGTTCTGCACCCCCAGGCCTGGGAGATTGAGCGGGGTGGTAAGCAGCACGGGGCTGTAGGAGGAGGCAGCAGCCACCGCAGGGCCCTCCCCCCGGGGTGGCACCAGAGGCAGCTGTGGGCCCAGGGGCAGATAGGCTCTCCTCCTGGGCCCTGGTGGCCCCGGGGCATTCTCTGAGCAGGGACCCCAACTTCGCTCACCTGCTGGCATCCACAGACGCTCTGCTCCCACTGGCTGGGTCTTCCGCACTCTGCACTGCTACCTCCTCCGCAAGGAGCCGAGGTTTCTGGACAACTTTGTTCTCAGCTTCCTTGACAATGGGTACCACTGCCTTCTCCTGGGCACTGGGCACCGCGGCCTTGGCCTTCTCCTCAGCAGGCGCGGGGGCTGCCTTGGCTGGGTCGACAGGTACCTTGGCTGGCTCGACAGCTACCTTGGCTGGCTCTGGGGTTGAACGGTGTGGGGCGGGAGAGGGGGGCAGGGTTATACTTTTTGTCCTTGTCCTTCCTCCTCCAGGTCTGGAGGTCTGAGGACTGAGACATGATCAGGCATCCCAGAATCAGGTGGGGGGCAGTGGGGGGCTGGACCTCAAGGCTGTGGGGGATGGGATCTGGGATGAGCTTGGAGACAGGGAGGAGTGACCTACTCTGGCTTGTCACAGACGGTCTCTACCCGGTTACTACCAAGTTCACTTCCACCCTCAGGGCTCCAAGTCAGAGATGCAGGTGTGCACGGGGGCTGACTCCCAGCTTCGGCACTGAGTGCAGGGCTCAGTGTGACCATGCTGCCCCCCGGTGGTATCTTGGGGATGGGCCCCTTACACCGCAGTGTCTCTAGGGCACTAGAAATAGCCGCGTTACGAATAAAGCATGTCCTATGGCATTTTAATAAGAGGCTTAATGCAAACCCTGTGGACGAGGCTGCCTTCCCTTTCTTGCTCGGACCTTATAAGGGCCTGGCCCTCTTCAGAGAGCAGCATCGCAGCTTGCGCCCGGAGTTGTGTGCTCAGGGAGGATTTCTAGGTGGAGCAGGGACAGCAGTCTGGTTGTCTTAAGCATTAACTTGTCTTAACGCTGGGGGCAGATGGCAGAGCAACTGGTTTTATTGAGTTTGTCTGGTTATTAGGGGCATCCTTTCTGAAGGGCTCCTCCCCACGTCCAGCCTCCTGTAGCCAAACCTCGGGGCCACCCTTGGTGGAGAAGCTGTTAGGGGCTTTGGGGTTCTGGGGGTGCAGGCTCTGCCCTCGGAGACTCACCTGTCAGCTCCACCCTGACGGCCGCAACCTCTTCAAACTCGTGCCCGTCTTTCGCGCCACACCAGTACCAGCCCTCGTCATCTTCGCTGACCGAGTCCAAGGTCAGGGTGAGGACCAGGTTGTTGTTGCATTTCACAAGGTCGCCGCTGGAGCTGAGCTTAGTGGGCAGGTCCTCGCAGCCATGGTCATTCCACTTGCACCAGTACTTCTCGGAGGAGAAGTATTTGCATGGGAAGTGGCAGGTGATCTCAACAGGCTCTCCCTGCACAGCAGTGAACTTGTCGATCGTGGGGCTTGGTTCTCCTGGAGGGGGAGGGGAGCCAGAGGCACAGAAGTTGGTACTTGAGCTGCCACGGGGATGTGGCTGCAGTGGGACCTTTGTCCACACTTACTTTCTGATAGCATTGTCAAGTTCAAAACTGTGGAAAAGTGGGATTAAGAGATAAGCTTATTTTGGTGCAAAAAGAATTGAAATTCATACATGGTTTTTTTCATAATGCACGTTTTTCCATGAACTTTTGAAGACCCATCTATGTATGGTTTTCAAAAAATTTTTTGCACCAAAATAAACTTACCCTCTAATTCTGTCCTTCCACAAACTTTCTGAATTGCCCTGTACATGAAGCTGAACACATAACAGTAGTTACTGTAGTTGTCCATCATGGTCAATCCAGAATGTGTCATCGAACACAGAACTTTGTACCTGGACTTCAGCATGTTCTCCTGACTCTTCTTTCTCTCTATTTATTTATTTTCATTTTATTTTAAAGGAAGAGAGAGAGAGAGAGAGGAGAGAGAAAGAAATATCTTCTATCTGTAGGTTCACTTGGCAAATGCCTACATCAGACAGAACTGGGCCAAGCCCAAGGCAAGAGTCCAGAACTCCATCCGGGTCTCCCATACAGGTGGCAGGGACCCAACTACTCGATCCATCACCTGCTGCCTCCCAGTATGTGCACCAGCAGGAAGCCAGAAGAGGGAGCAGAGCTGGAATCAAACCCAGGCACTCGGATGTGGGATGCAGGCATCCCAAAGTGGTGTCTTAACCACTGCACCAAATGCCCTCCCCTCCCCTTCCTTTTGGAATGTGAAGAGCTATCTTCAATATGCTTCAATTGATGAGCACATACTGCAAAAGAGGCCAGAGTGCCTGAGCGTAGGAGGTGCTCCTTGTGGTTACTGGGAGGGTGCTTGGTGCTTGGTGTAGGTTTGGACCTGTGGCTCGGGGTGGGTAGGCTGCCTCCTGAGGATGTCCCACTGGCATGGAGGTAGGCAAGGCAGGAGGAAGATGGCTGGGGGTGGGCTCTGCAGGCTCAGAGCTCTGCAGGCTTCCTCCCTTCTGTCCCAGTTCAGCTCTTACCGTCAACGATCTGGAGCTTCACCGAAGTCGTCAGGGACTCATCGTCATCGCTGACACACCAGTAGAAGCCTTCATCCTCGGCAGTGAGCTGGTTGAGGACGACTGAGAAGGTGCCATTGCCAGGCTCTTCGAACAGGGCCAGCCTGCCTGTGTAGTCTTTCTGAACCAGCCCCTCGCCGCTGTCCACCAGCAGATGGCGGGTTTGACTCCCTTCCCAGAGATACAGCTGCAGGTGGCTGTCGCTTCTCTTCGGGTTGTAGGGGCAGCGTATGGTCACGGAGCCTCCTGGAAAGCCCTTCAACACAGGGGGGCTGCGGGACACGTCGATCTCTGCAAGCACAGACAGAAACAGCTGGAAGGGTGGCCACACACAGTAGCCTCACGTGGCTTCACAACCTTCTCCCAGGAGCTCGGCCCCCGAGTCCTGGGGACCAGACCCCGGAGACCTTCCCCACCAGTCTGGACATCTCCTTTCTTTTAGTTATTTAAAGGCAGAGTGACAGAGAGAGGGGGAGAGAGGGAGGGAGAGAGATCTTCCATCCACAGGTTCACTCTCCAGCGGCTGCAAAGGCTGGGGATGGGACAGGCCAAAGCCAAGAGCCTGGTCCTCCATCCATGGGTTGGCAGGGGCCCAAGCACTTGAGCCATCTTCTACTGCCTTCCTAGGTGCATTAGCAGGGAGCTGGCTCGGAAGTGAGCAGCTGGGACACGAATCGGCACTCCCATATGGGATGGCAGTGTTGCAGGTGGCAACCTAACCCTCTGTGCCACAATTCCCACCCCTCTCTCCCCCACTTTTTTCTGAGCAGGGAATAGAAGGGGTTCAAAGAAGAGTATCAGCCCCTTTCCTCTGGTTTCTTACAAAGCCTCCCTCTGTGTAAGTTTCTGCCTGTCTGACGGGTTCCTGATGAAGAAAGTGTATTTAGAATGGTGGGTTCAAGACTCAGGCCGTGTGGCACAGCAAGCTAACTGTTGAGCAGGACAGCTGCTTGCCAAGCAGCTGACACTGAGGCCCCGAGAGAGCCCTGGGCAACTGCAGAAGCAGAGGAAGCTGGTGAGGATGCAGGGCTGCCATGGAAAGGAGGTGCAAGAGCAGGTGCCCCTTCGAGCAGGCGCCAGGTCAGAGGCTGTGCACTGCAGGGCTGCTTCGCCTGGTCTCCTGAGTGCCACTCTATGCAAGAGCGGGGTCTGGGGATGTCACCACCTTAAAGACTTGCCCGCGCGGAGCTGAACAGGCCAGGTCCTGGTGAGAGGCAGCAGACGATGGAGATGGAGAGCTGGGGTGGGGGGGTGCTGCCCCTCTGGGAAAGCCTGGAGGATGAGGGGAGCCCAGCTTTCTCCCATCTGAATGTGGGGGATGGGCACCCACCTTGCTCAGGGCTGGGGGAGGGGACAGCCAGCCACTGCAGAGCCCGCCACGGCACCGAGACACAGAACCCTGCAAATCTTGCCTCAGTCACCACCTTCACTCTGCTCATTCCTTTTTACTATTGTTTTTTTACAATTTCTGTTTGTTTATTTGAAAATCAGAGTGAGAGAGAGAGGAGATATACACACTCACAGACAGCAGGAGACCTAGAGCGAGGAAGAGAGAGATCTCCGCCTGCGGGTCCACTCTCCAAATGCCAGCAACAGCTGGAGTTGGGCCGGTTCTGAGTCCAGCACTGCATCCGAGTCTCCCACGTGGGTGGCAGGAACCCAAGTGCTTGGGCCGCCATCTGCTCCCTCCCAAGCCCGTTAGCAGGAGGCTGTATTGACCGCACCCACTCTGATATGGGGTGTGGGTGTCCCAAGCTACAACCTAACCCTCTGTGCTTCGTGCCTGCACCTCCTCATTCCCTTTCAGCAGGGACTGTCGTGACATAGGCTTCCCACAGAAAATCAGGCTCATCAGAGGGTGGATGGCTGATGAGCAGACTCAGGGAGCTGAGCCAGGCGCTCACCTGCCAGGCTGCCCCGCCCCTTCCCGCCCCCACTCTGGGGTCTCACCTTCATTGACGAAGAGTTGCCGAAGCTGGGTGGGCCCATCCCCAGACTGACCATTGGACTGGACTCCGCACAGATAGTTCCCTGTGTCTTCCTTCCTCAGGCCTGCGATCACTACACTGAAGTGGCCGTTCTCAGCCTTGGTGAACAGGATCCTGCCCTCGAAGGCTGGATCTATTGTCCCCTGGCTGTCAATGACCACATTGCCACCCCTAACCTGGCGCAAGGATGCTACCGCGTTTGCGTCTTCAGAGTCCAGGGCACATTCAAAGGTCACCGAGCCCCCCAGGTTTCCATAGAGCAGACCAGGAGTTAGCAGTCGGAGGTCAACGTTCTGTTCTTCAGCAGTGGGGTCGCTTCCACTCTGGCAGACATACTGCCCAGCATCATTGAGCTGCAAATGCTTGATGGTGACTGTGAATTCTTTTGCTGTGGTACTTTGGATCTGCAACGTTATTCTGCCCTTATACCTGGGGTCCTTTGCCTCCTTACTGCTGGAATCAATGATGAGTACAAGTTCCCCGTCTTCCACCTTGTAAAAGGACTTCTTTAGTTGCCTAGTCGCATATGTGAAAGGGCAGGTGATGGTTACTGTATAACTCTCATATTGTTTGTAAACAACGTCATCAGGCTCTGGCTCTGCAGGATGAGAGGCGGGGAGGGCGGGGCAAGGTGTGATTCCACTTTCCTTGCACCGCAGATACCTAATCCTCCCTGTGAGGGTCTGGGTGGGCCTGGGACCTGCAATGGCTGCTTTCCAGAGAGGCCCTCTCCAGGGTGTCTGATGGAGTTCAGAAAACAGCGCCCAGGGTGGAGGTCCCAGAAGCAGGGTCTCTCCCCCAATCCTGACCCAAGGCAGGCTATAGGCACTGATATTCCTCTTCTCCAAGGTAACTCCTAGGAACCAGAGCACCCTTCCTCCCAATCCAGGCACAAGACCTAAAAAGACTGCTCCCCAACCCTTCTATGTAACAGGTGGCCATGAAGAAATTAAGGTGGGGTCGGCATTGTAGCTGACCAGGTAAAGCCGCCGCCTACAACACCAGGATCCCATATGGGCACCGGTTTCATCCCGGCTGCTCCACTGCTGATCCAGCTCCCTGTAATGCGCCTGGGAAAGCAGAAGAAGATGGCCCAAATGCTTGGGCCCCTGCACCCACGTGGGAGACCTGGAAGAAGCTCCTGGCTCCTGGTGTCAGCCTGGCCCATCCGGCCATTTGGGGAGTGAATCAACAGATGAAAGATCTCTCTCTCTCTCTAACTTGGTTGTTCAAATAAATAAAATATATCTCTTTTTTAAAAAAAATAATTAAGACCTGCATTCCAGAGGGTCCTGCCTAATACCCAGGACTGAGAAGTGCTGTGGCCAATGGGCAGAGAGGAGCCTGGGCAGACAGCCCGCTGGGTTCCCCACGCCGGGTTCCCCACACCGGGTTCCCCACGCCATCCGTTTCCATGGGCTCAGGCCGGCTGTGTCAGCTCGCATTCCTACCCAGCCATCCAACTTCACCGAACCCAAGCACTTAATCAGCTCACTTTCCCCTGTCTTTGGAGGTTTATTTGAAGATCCTCTGCATGTAAAACTTTTCTCTCAGGAACTTTTGCTACAGAGGTGGAGACCATGACCCTTGAGGTGGGTAAGAATGGTCTCGCCCTCTACTCCCAGCGCCTCCCGAGGCCCAGCCTCACTGCTGTCTCCTCCACGAAGCCTCCCCAGCTTGCAGTACCCTCTCCTCTGTGGTCGCCCCTACTCGGCTCTGCATCTCGGAGTGCATCTAACCTAGTAGGGGGTCGTTTATGTTACCCGCGGACTGGGGCACAGAGACATGGCTTTCTCATGTTTGCTTTGCCCAGTCCAGCACAACGCCTATGTGCGGCAGGTGTCCGGGAGCATGTGTGTTGAAATGGACAGAAGGGACACAGGGCAGGGGGTTGACAGACTTCCTCCCTCAGACCCCTTTCCCTGTGCCCTGGACAGCTAACATGCCCTCCTTACTGACTTCTAGTAGCAAAGAGCTTTTCTTCTTGTCTCTTTCTCAGAATAGGCTTATTCAGTGACCCAAGCATTAGGACCATGGCGTTTTGTTTAGAAACAAGGCTCTAATTGATCAGAGTTGGTAACACACACACACACACACATATACATTTTAAAAGCAGCCTTCTGGGGGCTGGCACTGTGGCATAGTGCGTAAAACCACTGTCTGCAGTGCTGGTATCCCATATGGACGCTGGTTCGAGTCCCGGCTGCTCTACTTATGATCCAGCTCTCTGCTATGGCCTGGGAAAGCAGTAGAAGATGGCCCATGTCCTTGGGCCCCTGCACCTACGTGGGAGACCCGGAAGAAGCTCCTGGCTCTGGATCTGCCCAGCTCCAGCCATTGCAGCCATTTGGGGAGTGAACCAGCAGCTGGAAGACTCCCTCCCCCATCTCTCTCCCTCTCTGTAATTCTGCCTTTCAAATAAAAAAATAAATAATTATAAATATTAAAAAAAGAAGCAGCAGCAGGACTGTAAGTTTCCCTACCAACCTCTCCCGTCCCGTCCCACCTGCAACAGACACAGTAAGAAACGCTGGCCTCTTGGCGCCCGCCCTGAGCCAGGGCCTCTGTACTGGCCTAACATTTGAGAAGCCTGGAAGACCCAGCCCACCTTGCCCCCGCCCCAGGCAGCCTCATCTGCCTCCCGCGTCCCGGCATGAAATTCTCTCCCTTGGGAGGAGGAAGCTTCCTGAGCCAGGACACCCTTGCCTGTCAGGAAGCTCTTCCTCCCGCATCCCCAGCCTTCCCCCGGGAGCCCTGGGGGCTGGGTCCTTACTCTGGCTGACCAGCACGTTGACACCGAAGTCCAGGCCACGGCCGTTGACTCCCACGCCACACTTGTAGCTCCCTGAGTCGTTCTGGGTGAGTTGGTCAACAGTCACCACAAACTCCCCTTTATCAGGGAAGTCGGTGAGCTTGCCTCTCCCGGAGTATTCCTGGGACGTGTAGCCGGTCGAGGCAAGCGTCACGCAGCGGCCGCTCTCCTCTTCCCGGCACCAGAACTTCCGGCTGTGCCGGTTGACGGAGGTTGTTGGGTAGTAGCATGTGATGGACACCGAGTCGCCTTCCAAAACATTCACCTCCCCGGGACCAAATATGGAGCTGGGACCCAATAAGGAGCTTTGTGCCGTGGCCGCTGTGGGGACAGGAGATGGAACACTTTGAGGCCCTGGGGCGTTGAAGCCTGCCTAACACATGGGCCCCGGTGAACTACTTACCATCAACTCCAGCCGGGCAGTTGCCAGGTTTGGGGGTAAGGATGACGCCTGTTATTACAGTCTTGTGATAACTCATCGGTCCTAGCCCCTGTGGGGACTGTGTGATAAACTTACTGTGCCCTGCCCCCCCAAACATTGCCGCTTTTGTAGGGTGCTAGACACAACTTGCTGTTATTTCTTGTATTTCTGCAACACTTTGTGGATAGTTTTCTTTGTTTCCAGATAAAATTATTGAGAACCGGGAAGGATAAGGGATCGCCCCAAATCCCATCACAAGTCTGCTTGGTTTGAGGTCAAGGTATTTTCATTCACAGAGAAGACCCCTCCCAGACCCCAGCCATGGAGCTCGGAATTGTCATTCCTGCCCTGACTCCCAGGGCTCATGTTAAGACATGGCCTCCCTGCCTTGTCTCTGTGGGGCTCCTCAACCGAGTGCAACTTGTGGGGGCTTCCCTGGGGATAATTCTGATCTCAGTGCCCCAGGGAACTGGATTCTGTAGGGGGCTTGGATGAAGTTGGCCTGGCCACATACCTACCTGAAAAGACAGCCAGCAGGCAGGTGAGCAAGAAGAGAGCCATGGCTGGTGGCTGGTGAGGGCACTAGGCCTGGGCTGCCGATGCGGGAGAGACTGCAAGACAATAACACAAGCAGATGAAGCTCCTCTGCCTTCCAAGTCTGGTTGACCTTGGAGTTTCTGTAATGCCCACTTGGCTTTATATCTCCAGGAGTGGACATAAATCCTGTTGAATGAACAAATGGCTCCACCTTTCCCCACACAATTCCAAGTTCCATCGTCCTGCAGTGTCTATTGTTCCTTAATAGTTATAAGTAGTTTTTCTTTCTTAACTAAGCTTCATGGTCCTTTAGTGTGGAAAGGGACATCAAGGGCTCTTTCTCCTGCAGCCCTGTGTGCACAGTCCCAGGCACACTGTCAGATCTCAGCAACGGCTCCCTGGGTGATTGATTAGATTGATTACCACCAATAAGTGGCCCCACGGTTCTGTCACAGCTGCCTCCTTGCCTCCCTGGGCGGTGGAGGGGCTGATGTATGTTGTGTTGTGTTCACATGAAATCACCAAGACCATGGAGGAGACATGTTCTAAGCACCATATTAAATGTTTTACATGCCTTTAAATTCATCACCCCTGCACATACATTCTGTATGGAGAGAACAAAAGCTTGAAGATTAAATAGCTTGCCCAAGGCCACACAGAGGTTAAGTGTGTGTGTGTGTTGGTGGGGGGAGTTGAAGCCAGCTTTGTCTGATCCCAGGGTCCACGCTCTTAGCGTCACCACTGCTCAGTGTCACTCCTCAAATACAGCAGAGTGCTTGTCCCTGATGCTTACTGTGGCTGTGGAAGAGCCTCTGTGGCTTATCAGAGCACACCGTGACACAATGTCACTTGCACTATAGCTTCCCTTGAAGTAAGGCAGACAGGTGGAATCCCAGCATTTTACGGGGACGAAGACTGACATCTCGAGATGCTGAATGATAGGCCTCGGGTCTCCCGGTGACTCAGTTACGGGGTCAGGACTGAACGTGCAGCTGCCTTGGTCTGGGCAGTCTTGTCTGGGGAGCCCTGGCAGGCCCAGATGGAGAAGCTGAGATAAGCTGCCCTCCTGGACTTTGTTACCACCAGGGACACAGCCCCGGGGCTGGGGAGGGTTGAAGGTCCCAGGGCCCTGCCCTGGCTCTAGCTGTCCTTGGGCCCAAACCACAACCTAGAGGAGGACACAGGAGTCCCCATGTGACAGACTTTACACTTTGGAGTGGACTTGACAAAAGAGTGCTAAAGGAGAAGGCAAAGATCACAGGCCCTGGGCAGCAATGAGCACCCATAAAGATAAGGCCTCTGCAGGTAGGAGGGGACCCGGGCTCTATCTCCCAGGCCTCCCACATGCCTCGGCCCCACTCCCTCCCCCTCCTGCTCCCAGAGACTCCCCTACTGCTCTGAGCCAAAGGCAATAGAGTTGTTTATCTTGGTTATTTCTTTTCCGTGGGGGAATTTCCCAGCTAGGATCCCTTTTATTTCCTTGTGGAGATAAAGGCATTCTGTTCTGGGTTCCTGGAAGAGAAAGGGGCGGGGGTGGGGCGATGAGGCTGGCAGGTGGCTCCCTGAGACTTTCTTTTCTGCTTAGTAGCCCCCGACCTTCCCCACCAGGCCTAGGAGATAATCCTGGAGTGGGAACTCAGCCAAGTGCAGAGCCAGCCCCACCGTGATGAGCTTGGGGACACTGATGGGGTTCACCAGGGCTGGAGTCTGTCTTCCCTGCTACAATTAGGCTGGGCTGGCGGCAGAGTCCTGGGGATCTGCAGCTCACCTTTGTGCTGGTCAGAGGGAGGAGGCAAACATGCCATGTGCTGTTAGGAGCCCAGCCCTGCAGCCGCTGTCCCTGCTTCTCACCCCTGTCCTTGTCTGATGGCTTCCTGATGTTTCTGTGGGACAGGAGTGGGGATGCAGGCCCCTCCCGGGACGGTCAAGTTACAGTGTCAGAGGCCAGGCTTACCAATGTGGGGGTCCCAATTTCCAGGCCAGGGTTCCTCTCATTCTGTGACACATTTGGGTGGCTGTCCATGCCCACGTTGGGGGAGGACGTGTGCCTGGACCCATTACCTTTGCACAGTCTCGAGCTAGGGGTGAGAGCATCAGACAGGCCCAGCTAGAAGGACAAATCTGACAGAGGCTCACCTTGGCAGGGAGGCCCCGAGCCCAGTCCCAGGGCAGAGAATGCTTGGGAGAGGGTACTCCCGCTCTCGGCGGTAAGGAACTCTTCTTTGCCCAAAGCGACGCCTTGGAGCACACGTTCTCTGCCAGCAGCTCCTGTGTCCCTGCTCCAGAGAGGATCTCCCAGTCCTAGGTCCCCGATGGCCTGCTTTCTGCTGGGCCACATGGCTTGGCTGCCCTGCAGCAATTCTGGAATCTTTGTCTGTTTGGTCCCAGGATCAGCTGGGACTCTCACAGCCCCCAGGGCTTCAGAGGGGACAGCCAACATGCACTAGGAGACTTGAAGCCAAGTTGTCTGTTTCTGACAACTTGCAAACGTGAACTTGGAGAGGCAGGGAGCCCTGGCGTTCTGGGGAGTGGGGGTGAGTGGCCTGGCTGGGGAGGCGGCTCTCATCAGCCTGGATTGAACACCTCCTTCCCCTGCTTCTAGGAGAGGCACTGCCTGGGCCCATCTGGGACTCTCATTCTCATCTGTCACAGGTGGAGGGGCCAAGAACAGATGAGAGAGAGCTTGGAAATGGTTGTCTTGGGGGATAGAAGAGAACCCGTGGTCCAGTGTCCTGCTCTGCCTCAGGCCACAAGGAGAGCTCAATCACTTGGGGAAAGGTGCCGACTCAACTCTTCCGTCTGTGTAATGGGTGTAATACTCCCTGCCTCCTCTAGCTCGAATGGCTAGTGCAGGCTGGGGGAATCTGGAGGGAGAGTAATAGGATAATGCATAGGGAGGCACGGCAAACAGCATAAGACGCTCTTCTACAGGGAGAGCTACACAGGACTGGGCTGAGGCTCTGTGGCCCTGACTGTTACGGTTGGGGTGCACTTGACCGAGACCGCCACAAAGCCGTGACTCCTCGGCGTGGCTCCCTGCTCTCTCACTTGGTGGCTGTGTGATTTTGAGGCCACTGTCCCTGACACAGAGTCACCATAAGGGTGAGAAGGAAGCAGTAGGTAAAGTCCTTCACTCGGCGACAGGCCTGGAGGTCGCTAGTTCTTTTCCCCCTCTCCCCTCTAAGATCTGCTCTTGAGTCCTGCCAGCGAGCATGAGGAGAACGCACGCCTGTCTGCTCGCTCGGCGTCCTGGGGGATGCAAGCCTGGGAGTGGGCTGCCCACACTGGACCCACATGGCTGAGCGAGGAGAGCTGTGCCACGGACCAGGTTAGAAGAACACGGATTGAGGTCTTTCCAAGTGCTTTGCATGTGTTAACTCGTTCGCTCTTCGCGGCCCCTCTAGGAGGTGGGATAAAATATGCAAGCCCATTTTATAGATGAGACAACTGAGGCACCAGGTGGTAAGAAATTTGCCCAGGATCTCATAGCTGAAAGGTGACAGGGATGAGAGTCTGGATCCAGGGCACAGGCTCTTCCTCACTCTGCCGTGTCTTTGAGAGGGAGCAGTCGGAAGAGGAAGGGGCAGGATATTCGGTCTTAGAGAAGGAGGTCAGTTTAGTTCCTTCTTCGCTACCTTTCACAGGAAAGGAAGTTCCCAGGAAGACGCCTGGACTCGGATGTAGGTGCCAACAGAGAATTTCCTTCTAGAAAATACTAGCTGCTGTTTATTTAGCACCCATTATGTGTAAGATACGTTGCATTTGTTCCTCTACCCAGGTGCCGCCTGGGACCCCTGCATCCCAGAGCTGAGTGCCTGGGCTCGAGACCTGGCTCAGCTCCCCATTCCGCTTCCTGCTAATGCACACCTGGGGGCGGCAGCTGATGGCTCAAGTCGTTGGGTCCTTGTCACCCACATGGGAGATCCAAATGGAGCTCCTGGCTCCTGGCCTGGGCCTGGCCCAGCTCTCACTGCCGCAGACATCTGGGGAGTGAACTAGCTCTTGTCTATCTGTGTCTCTATGTTTCTCTGCCTTTCAAATAAACACATAAAATAAATAAATAATTTTTAAAAATAGCCAAATACATTGGTACCAAAAATTCTTTATACTCCATAATTTGTCAGTGCTGAGGCCTCTCAGACCCCAGCCCAGCCCACCAGAGACAGGGCAGGGCTTGCGTAGGGCTCTTCTGAGCCCCATGCTAGGTAACGTAGGTTGACCATCCTTTATTCGAAATGCTTGGGGCAGGAGTATTTTGGAGTTTTGTTAATTCTGAATATTTGCATATTTATGCATATTTATGTCCCATCTTTGGGATGGGACCTACGACTAGACACAAAATTCACTTGTGTTTCACACACACCTTACACACACAGCCTGAAGGTAGTCTTCTTTGATGCTTTTACTCCACCTGCACCCCTCACACATGAAGTCAAGTGAGCATCAAGTTTTGGATTTTGTAGCATTATTCAGATTTTTAGATTAGGGATGCTCAACGTGTAATAACTTTTTTTTTTAATTAGGAAATTTCTTTTTTAGGTGCTGGCCAAATGTCCTCAAGACCATATCAAAATGGCCGTCCCAAAATATCGGTCACCCTTGCTGGGTGCAGTTATGCCGCTCGCACCAACTAGTGCGGTCTTCATTCCCTCCACCGTGAACTGGACGCGCATGAGCCCCACTCTGCTTTCCTCCCAGGTTTGTTTTGGGTGGGAATGGGATGAAGCCGTGAAGGCCAAGTGGGTTTACTAAGTGGCTGGCGAGGTGGCCTCACGTCTTACAAACTAAAGCCCCCCGAGATCCAGCGGTGCCAAGAGACAGACAAGGGGAACAGAGCGCATTGCTCTCCTGACTGCTGGTTCAGTCCTTCCTGCAACATTGTCATGTCCAGGGGCAGGGAGAAGGGTGACGGGCAGACCCCCTGCCGCTTCCAGACCCCCGGATAACAACTCCCTTCTACCTGATCCCTGCGATCGGCACAGCCGCTCCAGATGCTAAGGAAGCCGTAAGACCCTTGGCGAGGCGAGACGGTGAGGCGAGGGCTGGGCACGGAAGGTGAGCAGCGTGCGGGGCCCCAGGCACGGGTAGCAGCTGAACAGAGGTAACTGGGGCTGGGATGGCAGCTTGACCGGCTGCCGCCCTTGCCAGTGCTGGCTTGGGGCTGCTCTCAGGATGGGTGGGAGGAGGGGGGCTGTGTCTGGGGCTTCCTGGAGGGGTTTTGGGACTTGAGGATGCTGCCTGGGACGGCTTGGTGGCTGGGCCCGTTAGCCTGTGGGGACCTCGGAGCAAGGGCAAAGGCAGGATGATGACGAGAATACTCACGTGTCTCAGATGCCAGGAACCCGCTGGAGCAAAGCTGTGTCGAAATCAGGCTCTACCTTAGAAGCCCAGGAAAGGGGGCTGCCTGTGGCCTCCCCAGGGATCGGGATGTAGAAAGCTTCAAACACCTGGAGAGGACTTGCTACGTGCCAGCACCCACCCGATGTGCACCTGTCTGGGACCAGATCTGGCCCGTGGCTCAATGACTCCTTGAGGAACTGAGCGGAATTGGAAAAAGCCAAACCCCAGCAACTAACTTCCTGCTAGAAGTTAGAAAGTCATTTCACACTTATTTTCTCCTTGACCCTGCATCAGCCCTGAGTGCACGATGTGATTTCTTTCCCCATTTCACAGGCTAAGAAACTGAGGCTCAGAGAGACCAGGCCACTCGCCTAATGCCACACAGTTAGCAGATTCTGGAGGAGCCAAAGGATGCGAGGACCGAGCTGAGAGAGCTGCAGGTGCTGGCCACGGGCGTTCCTTGCCAGAGGCTCACACCTTGCAGGACAGGCTGCTGCACGCACCGGCGTCCTTACTCACGGCGTGGGACTTGCACCTGTGCGCCGCAGCTCGTGCAGCCTCCCAGGCTGCCCGCCTTGCCCTGCTCACCCCACGCTCCCAGGGGCTGGGAGCTGTGAATGCCTCCAGCCTGGTCCCTCCCGGGATAACCTCCTCCTCCCGGGGACCCCACACTTACTTTTAGCCACTTCTTCCCCTCCTGCTGACCGGACTCGGGGGCACAGCCTGCTGGCCAGCCCGTAACCCCGGCCTCTCTGGGAGCTGCCGGCAGGGCACTGGATGGTGCTGCCAAAACTGAAACTCTGCTTGGGGCATGACCCACACCTGGGCTCTTAAAGGGCCACTCGCCCATAGGCACGGCGGCCAGCCAGGGGCACGTGACTCACTGATCCCTGGCTCTTTGTCACCCCAGCGTCCCTGGCTGCCTCCATTTGCTTTCCCTTGACCTTGGCAAGACTCTGCTACTTGGGAATCCCTCGACCTTGCACCTGCAGGGTACAGGCCACGGTGCCCAACACGAAGATCCTGTAGCTGCAAGACCTTAGGCAAGTCCCTACATGTTCCTCTCCATCTCTAACAGGGACAGTGACAGCAGGTCTGCAGGCAGCAGCGACAGCCAGATACAGTGGCCTGACGCGCGGCATGAGGCTGACATTCATTCGCTCGGCACAGGCGTCAGGAACAACTCTCTCCGTCCTTGGTCTCACATCCCGGTCCCTCTGGGACCCCTACCCCCCACTCCCTGGCTCGCTAAGGTGGACACTAAGTCCACCTTTTACCCCCGCACTTCCAGAAGCTTCCAGAAATTGAAAGGCTGAGCGTCTAGGAACCTGGAGGACCAAAGCTGTTCATTTTTCATGGCTTGAAGGAATTAGAGAGTTTGGCTGCTTCCTGGGCTCCCCTAAAGTCAGCTGAGCCTGGAACTCGGCTCCATAGCCAAAAGGACCTCGGCCTAGGCCACACTGCAGAGCGGGGGTCGCAACTGCTGTCCTCCCCCCGTTACTTCTTGGTGGTTTCCTTCAACAAGCCTTGGCTGGGACTCCCAGGCGTTCCCCAAACGATCGCAGCAGTTCTGTGTCACTCCAGGGACGTTCACAGCCCACCACACACACAGAAGCCCCCCACCCTTCACGCACCGGGAAATCCTGCCCCGTCCTACCTGCGCAGGGCTGATCCCGGCTCTCGCTGCCGAGTGCTGCAGCCCCAACGCCAGGGAGGAAGGAGAAAAGGGGAAACAGGGCCCTGCAGAAGCACAAGGCAGCGGGGGCCTGGGTCCGAGTTTAGTGAGCCACTCTCACCTGGGGCACAGATTGGACTGGCAAGACCAGAAACCCTATTTCTCTATTATGAAGTTTGATTTCAGCCCCTGAAGCTAGCCGCAGCGTAAGTAACTTTTTTCTCCCTTATTTTGCCCAGTCATTTCCGGGCAAACTCGGTCCAGTTCAACGGCCGTCACTCGACTCCAAATGGAAAAGTCAGTCTCTTTCTGGATTTTCTCTCCTCTGGGGCCTGTGCTAGGTCTGGGGACAGTGGCCATGGAGTGGGGTGGCCAGCATTCCTGCTGGGGCAGTGGGACGGAGCAGCCCATTACTCGAGTCTTGATTTCTGGCCCGGCTTTGTTGGCCTGGTGCCCCAGGAGGAAACAGTTTTGTCGGCCGAGTTGTGCTTGTCCTGCCTGGTCTGGGGCCTTTATCTCTGTTCATCCCGAGGGGTCTGTGGCCTGCTCTGTGTCCTCTCTCTCCCTGTTGCCGAGCCCCCTCACCTGTCCCTTGCCCTCCTCACAGGTTCAAGTTCAAGACCAGAAGCTGATGTGCAGCTTCTGAGGCCTGTGGGTGTGCAGCAGAGCCCAGTTCCCAAGAACAGCCCTTGTGGCTTTCTGTGCCCCAGCGTCCCCAGATAATTGGGGGTCACGATGGATACTGGTAAGAGTATGGGCCCCCGTCTTTCTAATATGGGACAGGCAAGCTGCAGCCCTCTTGAGTCTGGAATGTCCAGAGATGAAATCATCGTTTATCCTCTCTGCTCCACTGAACCGAGGACTCAGCCGTGGGAGGCAGCAGACACACCGGCCACCAAGTCCTTTTCAGCGATCTTGCTCCTCCCGGAGTTGCTGTCTATGGGCCGGTGTGAGGGGCAGTGGAGACAGCGGGGACACCCCTGCTGTGCCAGAGGCCAGCTGCTGTCTCAGGTTTCCGTCCAACCCTGTCTGTATTCGAGCTCAGTAGGCAGCGTAGTTGGAGGGTCTGTTTTCTTGTTTTTCTGCTCCCTTCCAAAGCAGGGAACAGCTTGCGTCTGGTTGTCAGGGCTGGAGTAGGGCTTAAGAAGACTGGTGTAGAAACCGTAAGAGAGGCCTGGCGGGGAGTGGGGAATGCGCCTGTTCAGCTGCGGCTCCTCACGGTCTCCCTCCCCAAGCTGCTCTCGCGCCATGACGGGTCCTTCACTGGGTCGCACTCTGATGCATATTCTAGGAGAATCCCGGGCTGTCCTCGCAGACCGTGGCAGCGATCTGAGAACAGGCATGTGCACGCACACACACACACACACACACACATGGCACATACCCAAAGACTGCGTGTCCCATAGATCCAGCTTTGGGAAGCTGGGATGGGCTGGGGAGGGGGGCACACGGACTGAGAAGTGGGACCGAGGGAAGAGAAAAAGAAGTCAAAGCCCCACGTCCTGTTTTGGGCTGAGCCACATGCTGGTGGTAAGATTGGAGCCGCCAGCTTCCCCTCTCACAAGTGGTTCCCCAATCTGAAACCCTGTGTCCCTAACACAGCCCCTGCATCCCAGCCTTTGAAGTAATAACACAAGAAAATCTATAAGAAAAGGAACGGCTTCCCATTTGCCTCCCGAGATGCTGGGACGCAGGCCAGGTCAGTGTGGGGAGGTTTAGGGAGGCGGTCTGGGCCTGCTTCTGCTTCTAACCTGCGGGGCGATTGTGCTGAGTCCCTCGCTCCTGTGTAGGTGTGCGGAATTTCACTCCGGGAAGTGAGAAGGCAGGGCCGAATGGTTCCCAAAGTTACTTGAATTCTAGCGTCCTTTGCTTGAGCTGAGCCCTGTATTTGTGTCCTGGGTGTGCTGTCACAAGTTAACACAACCCTGGGGGCTCCGCTGGTTCTGGAGGGCGGAGGTTTGGCGACTGAGGGGCCAGCCCGCTATGCAGGCCCTGGGGGAGAATCAGACTGGTATCTCTGGCTGCTGCGGGTATCCCTTGGAGCTCTTTGGCTTACAGCGGCATGGCTCCGACCTCACACTGCCTTACATGTGTGTCTCCAGTCTCTCACTGTCCTTCCCTCAGAGGGACATCTGCAGCCACACATGGGGCCCACCAGGGTGACGTCCTCATCTCCAATTCCTGAGCTAAACCCCGTCTACAAAGACTCCTTTCCCAAATGAGGTCCTATTTACAAGGCCCAGGGATTGGGATGTAGGCGTTTTGGGGGGATTATTTTTCTGCGACCACATGCATCTACTGTGGCCACTCTGAGGTCCGGGGAAATTGGAGACACGCGGGAGTGTCCATGTTTGTGGGTGGAATCCTTGGCGTCTCCCAGGGTGGCATTAGTCTAAGCTCCCATAGGGCCGAGGAGCAGCATAGGTCTGGGGGCAGCACACAGGGAGGGCGGGCGCAGCCTCGTGAGAAGAGTGTAGGCTGTGAACTTGGGCCGCCCTGGATTCGCATCCAAGCCAAGGGGACCTTGGACATGTTATTGAGTGTTTCTGGGGCTAATTGTACTCACTCCTTAAGCATGTTATAAAGATTAGGGACAATAGATACAGAGGCCGGCATCTCATTCGTGCTCATGATTCAGCTGCAGATAAGTGTGAGATCTCAGGCCTTCAGAACCCAGAGTCGTTCCCCACGAGACAACCACGAAGTGTGGGCAGAGAGCTGAAATGACTCGTGCAGGTTTTCACGGGGAGGTAATGGCGCAGAAGGGTCTTGAACGGAGGTTCTTGAGTGTTTTCCCCACTTCCCCAAGGCCTGGCTCTCAGGATGAGTCCTTTGGACCATGTTTCCAGAGACAGCATGGGTCTCACAGAGCCATTCTTCGGGCTGATGCTCCTGGGCGCGGGTGACCCGATCACCAACAGAGAAGGGAAGCCCAGGCCATCAGGCCTTCTCCACTCTCCACTGCCCACCTGGCATCCCTCAGCCCTCTGTGGATGGGTTCTTACTAGTGTTGCCCCGCCAGAGGGGTGAGCTAAGAGTGGACTGATGAATATTATCGAGAGCCAGCTGTCTGCTCCCATGTGCAGCTCTCCACAGAGTCAATGTTTAACCCCAGGTCAGCCATGCCTGTAATCCAGCCTTCTCTGTTAAGCCTAGAATATAGAGCCATTGCAGTATCAGCCACTGCAAAAGGGAACCGTGACCGCGACTCTGCATCTCCCCCCGCCTCCCTGGGTCTTTCAGCCAGTGACTTCTGGGGTGCTTTTTAATGTGGCAAAGCTTCCTGGACTTGGAGCTGGAAAACCTCAGCATGGAAGATGGCCCGCTTCTTCAGCTCTGCCACCCTGGACTGGCTGCTTAACACCTGGAGCCTCGCTTTCTGCCTTTCTGGGTAATAGGAAGCAGCTCAGAAGGTTGTGAGGATTACGTGAGTTGACACACGAAGAGCCCAGCACACGGCTGTGGTTTCCTCGATTTCCCCTTCTCCTGTCGCTGTGTTGCGATTGAAGCCCCCTCTCCTTTGTCACCTCACTTCATCAGTCCAGGCGCCCCAACATTTCCCAAGGCTTCCCCAGTTCCCTGTTCCTCTCAACAATTATTTTTCCCTCCTGGATAGGGGCCTGGTATGGTTGTTCTGCCTAACGATCACACTTCCAGCACTCCTGTTACTGCCCAGCGAGTGCATCTGCCTCGGAGAGTCCAACCTTGAAACAGAAAAGCACTAACCTCAAGGACGTGCCACTCCCCTTGAACTCCAAGGTGCCCTTGGGAGAGTCCAACAGCACAGCAGATATAGGCGGGCAATAGGATTGCTTCTAATCGAGGTCACAGAGGCCTTGGCCAGTTCACACAGCATCTGGGGGAAAAGGAAGTGCAGCCCATCTTTAAGGGAACTGCTGCTAAACTGGTCTCTCTTGCAGGGAATGACTCTGAGTGCCTCGTATTCCCGTCTTCTCCAGAATAAATAGAGGGAGGGTACAGTGATACCGCATTGCACCTGCTTTCTATACTTACTGGTGCGGCGACACAAAAGTACTGGCCTGGGCCCTGGACACTGAGAGCCTGGCGCTGGCCTTGACACCAGCTAGTAGGTCACCTTTCCCTTCCCTCGGACCTCCTCTGCTTCTTAGAGCCCCTCCGAGGTCTCTTTTGGGTGGTCCCTTTCTAATCGGTCCATGCCATTTTGCTTTTGTTTCTCAAATTTCAGTCTCTCCTTAAAGCTGTCTATGGAGGAAGAGTGGAACACGGGAGGGGTGACCAGGACAGGAAACTTTGGCTTTGGTGAGAGTGGAGGGAGCCATCTTGGGCACAAGGTCCAGCCCTTGGCAGAAGGGAGCAGTTCAGCCATGTTAGCTGCTTAACACCCTGCCTGGAGGCAATGGAAAAAAAATCATCCCCCAGCTGACCCTATGGGGAGAGGGTTAGGGTTCCAGTCTGAGCCACAGGATTCTGCGATGGAGTCTGGTCGTTCTGTTTCTTTTTAGAGGGCGCACTGACGCCCTGCCACTCCGATCTTCCCAGCTATACTTGTGGCACTCCTGTGGGTGACGCAGATACCAGGGCAGTGCTGTTTGGGATTATCCACGCCACAAGTAGCCGCCTGGTTGGTGACACCAGGCATTTCCTGACCCTAGCTGGCTGTCCCTGGCAGTGCTGTCCCAGTCCTGTCTTTTGGGCTGGAGGAGAAGAGCACAGGTGGGGTCTACAGCCCTGTTGCCGGGCTGCTGATGAGACCACTGCTGGTAGCCAGCATGGGCCCCAGGGTGGCTGCCGCTTGGACTCCCACTAGGAGCATGGGAACTGGAATAGGCCAGCTGGCTGGGCTTGGGTGAGTGTTTGGGGAGTTTATGAGTCCAGGTTTATATTCCGAGGCCTAAGCCTTCTCCCAAGTGAGTCTCCCGAGGAGGGAGCAGGTGCAGGGGGGAGGAGAATTCATTGTGGACTTCACCTTTGCCTGACTATCGGGCGACTCTCCGGGGCGCCCCCAGGATCCTGCCTAAGGAGCTCAGGGTCTCACAACGTCATGGCACTGCCAAGAAGAACCTCAACGGGAAAGACGTCAAAGCTGGGTGGTGGATTAGGGGTATGAAGGGGGCAAGAAGGTTGCGGCCTGGCCAGTGGCTCTAGTCTCTGGGTGGGCTGGGAGAGGGTGCCTTCCTGCTCACATGGATACGTGTGTGTCTCAAAGCTGTTCTCTTGCCCACCTGCACACCTGAGTCCCCTCCTTCTGCCAGACCACCTGCCTCCCTGTGTCACTGCCATGGGGTCCAACACCTCCCTGTATTCCCTGGCCCAGCTGACTGCCAATCCGAGAGCAACCACGTTTCTCCCGGGACTTCCGGGAGGGGAGGGGGTGCTGTTGGTTTTCTTTATTGTTTGGCTGACAGAGGAGTGAAGGTAGGAGCCTGGACACTGGCTGTGTCTGCCTTCAAGGAGGCTGTCGTGGGGAACAGGAAGTGGTGCAGTTGAACTTGAGGGAGCGTGGACGTGGAATGTTGGCCGTGGCCCAACGGCTCTCTCGATTCCTTTTATTCTTGGCTTGAGAGGCACGGACAAACAGGCAAGCTTCTTCTGAGGCCAGCCAGCCACTCTCCTTCCCTTTCTAACCTCCACGCCCCGGCCAAGGAGGAGCAGAAGGAGGAAGACTTTTCGGAGCTAACATCCAAAGTAAACAAGTGGGTGTCAGGTGACGGGCCCAGCCTCTCTCATAAGCCATTGGGGGGTCCTCCTGACCACTGGCCCTTTCCTTGTTCCTGGTCTGGACCTGGCCCGCAGCCCAGAGTTTGCCTGGCAGGCGGGCTTGGGAGAACCAGGCCCCTGCACCTGCACCCATTTCGGCCTCAGTCGGTGTCTTTTTGGGGCTGTTCTTGTGATTAGCTCTCCGCTGTCTGGACTGCAGAGGTCAGGGCAGGCTGGGGTGGGCTGGGGAGGGCTGGCAGAGCAGGAGGTCCCAGCCGGCTGCCTTTCTAACCAGTCTGCCCTTCCCAAGTCAGGCCCCAGAGAGCCCACTGCCTTCGACCCTGTGTCCTGAAGAGCACTCTCTGGACGAATTGCGGGGCAGTTTGGAAATCGTCTTTGCACACGGCTGTCCTGCCTCTCTAATACACCCAGGACGGGGAAGCCGGGACTGTGCAACTCAGGGCACGAAACAGCCTTTGTTTAGCCTCCCTCCATGCTCAGAGCAGAACCGGTAGATTTAGAGAGGCGCCCAGAAAGTGAGGAGCAGGAACAAGGTCAGAAATGGGAAGAGACAGAACTTATGGGTCCCGATGCTAAGCCCTGAACAGGGCGTCTTTAAGGAAAAGAGATCTGGAGGCAAACAACGGCCTGTGAGCTCCCCACACCCCCAGAGCTGTGGCACGGGGTCCTCTCTGCTGCCAACCTGGGCCTCAGCTGACCCCCTGGGGAGCAGGCCCTCGAGGGGCAGCTCATCTTCCTGCCTGGGGGGACTGCACCTGTGAGCCATGCTGTGTTACATAATGAAAAAATGGACAACTGGCCGACATTGGACCCTGCGTGCAAGGCCAGCCAGAGTCCACTTCCTGTTGTGTCAGATCTCCAGGCGCCACACAGCCTCTGAGCTTGGCGCTCTAGGTTACCTGTCCTGGGGGAGGACCTTCAAATCATCTCCATCTATGCCACGAAAGTGCGTTGTAGATCTCTCCCTGGAGGTGCCTTCCCCCTTGTGTCTGTTAATAGACCCATTGTAGCTTTCTCAGACCACGCCAGCTACCAGAAGAGGAGAAGAAACCCCTAGAACGTGAGTGACGGGCAGTGAGAAGATCCAGATCCGGCACTTGCTTTGCACAACCTGGCGGACGCGGGCGGGTGTGCCCGCAGGTCTGTAAGCAGGAGCTCTGTTTGCAGAAATGCTAGCAAAGGACCTCAGGGCTGGTGGCCGGCTTTGTAGCTTTCAGCTCTGGCTCTTTGTCTGGTTTTACACTTCATTAGGCCTGGACAGGAATAAACTAGTCAGTAACTAAAGATGACAAATTCGTGGAAATGCTTATGAAAACTTCCGTACATGAGCCCCGGAGAAAGAACTGAGCCTTTAGAACTGTAACCAGGAAGCCATCCAACCAGATAGCTGTGCCATAAATCCAACCAGGAGGGAGGCAGCACATGAGAGGGGGACCACTTTGTGTTCAAGTCCCAGCTGGCCCTTTCCCCAGTAAACGCCTTCATTATCCTGACCTTGACTTTCCTCATCTGTAAAATGGGAATGATCGTATCTACCTACACAGATGCTGCATCCAGTGGCATACAGAATGCGAAATCACTTGGGACGGTGGTTACTGTCACATGTTAACAAGCAACAGTGGCACTAGCAGAAGAAGGGGCAGAGAACTGTGCCCTGAACCCGAATTCCCCCCACCCTGGGTTAGAAATCCCATGTGGGCTGCCCTGATTCCAGCCCAGTGATGAGTGTGTCCCTGTCCCTCATCTTAGTGCTGTGGGCCACTTGCTAGCTGGGAAACGAGATGTCCAAAAAGTCACCGACAATGCAAGGGCCGGAGCTGCCTGCTGGCCCTTTAAGGCCATGCTCCTGCTCCATCACGCATCGGTTAGCCCATAAAGGAGAGCTGTAAGTCCGGGGCTTCCCCACTTCCTTCCCTGCATGGCTCTCACCCAGGCCTTATCTCCGCCTCCCTCTCAGCTCTTGGCCCTGAGACTCTGGTCTTGGCCCAGTGCTGGCCCTTTCTTTGAACTTGCCCTGGCCCCTCCTGCCAGCGGGTCCGCCTTTCTCTACAACACCCTTTCTCTGGAAACACTCCTGCGCCACTCGACCCACACCCTAACCCGGGCTGCTCTCCTCCTCTGTCCCCTCCCTCCCCCAGCCGGGGCAGTCAGACAGGATGTTCCGGGTGCTGGAGTAGTTCAGAGGAAAGACAGGCCTGGGGCGGGGAGGGGGTGGTGCTCTGAGCAGGAGGAGGGTCTGGTCCTGCACATCTGAGTGGGGCAGGGGAGCCTCCCGTGGCTCTGGGGCTTACTGCAGAGACTGGCAAGCTGTGGCTCAGGAGCCAGCGCTGCAGCCCGCCTCCTGTGCCTGGAGGTCAAGTTCTGCCCACTCCAGCCCCAGCCCCTGGGGCATGTGCGGCCTCTGGCTGCTTCCGGGCTCGGACAGCAGGACGGAGTAGCTGCCACAGATGGCGTGGCCTGCGAAGTCTAAAAGATCTACTCTCCACCCCTTTAGAGAAATAAACAGGCCAAGCCCTGGTTTAAGGCATTGGGCTGCCTCTGGCCAGGAGTGAACTGTGCAACCTCAGCCCCGTGACATCATGCCATCTGAGACTCTCGGGGAAAGACCCTTGCCCACGGCCCTCGCTGGGGGTCACCCACGTGGACCTTCCTATATTGACAACTCCAAAATCCTGCCCTGGAGAATCCATTGTCTAGCCCTGCGCTGCCAGGACTCCTTTGATCTACTAACCTTCTTTTCCTCAACACGTCTGTTAACAGCAGGAGAACCTAGTGTTCTGGGGACGCCCCTGGTAAACACCGCCAGGGCAGAACCAACAGCCTGGGTGCTCGGCCCCTCCTCCCGCTAACGAGCCCTGTGACCTTGGCCGAATTACGTCCCTCTCGGTGCCTGCTTCCTCATTGGCTGCACGGGATAGTGCTGTCTTTCTTCTCGGGGCCTGCTTCCTCATTGGCTGCATGGGATAGTGCTGTCTTTCTTATCTCTCCGGGAAACTTTTTCTGGGCAGATCACCTAGATGAGCCACGTGAGAATAGCTGGAGGGAAGGCTGTTGTCGCTCATTTTTGATGGTTCGCTTTGCACTTCTTCACTGCTCAGCGAGGGTGGCAAGGTGGACGAGGCCTGGGGCCAGGGTCATGAGTTCTCTTTCATACTCCTCACTCTGGGTCAACTGAGTGACTTTTGGAAAGCACATCTCCCCACCGAACCCCCCAAAAAAGGGAAAAACAACAAAACAACTGGGCCTCTACTAGGTGGGCTAATCTCATTGGATCCATGAGCTCAGAAATTCTGTGGTCCTACTTGCTTAGGTGCATACAACTTTTCTACTTCTCTACCCAGAATGGGGAGTCCCTCTCACTACACCAGAGAGCAGCACCTCTTTGATTTTCTTGGCAGAGTGTCTGGGTTCAGGACCAAACATGGGGAGGTATTACCGAAGGATTTCTGATGCTGCTGGTGGAGTAGGAGGCAGGGCTGAGCCTTCTGGAAATATCCACTGGGCCATTTGCAGCTCAATAGGAGCCTTTCTTCCCCTCCTGCCTCCACTGCTTGCAGGCTGCTCTGTCCAGAGGCAGAGGCCGGAGAGCTGGCTGCCCAATCTGGCAACAGCACAGAGCAATTCCTGAGAAGACGGTGGGGTCAAGAGTGGAGTGAAAGTTCCCCATTGAGTGTGTGGTAATGCGGCCATCAGGCGGAAGCCACATAGAATCCCTCTTTGTCCTCCACCACACCCCCAACAGTCATTGTCCAGCTGCAACCCCTGTCCCTGGTGCTAAGGATTTACCAGCAGCTGAACAAGAGGGGCTTTATGGAGACGGTGAGACTCTAGTGCAAAATGCCCGCCTCCTGCGTGAATTTAGGAAAATCCCAGAAAATCTCGGTCGGGTCAAGAGGTCTGTAGCATAATGAGCGTGAGCCCCGCTGGGGAGAGAGGGGGTGTTCTTCCTGTGGGCTCCATAGGAACCATTTGCCTGTGGGGTCAACTAGGGGATTCCCAAGAGAAGGGGTAGAAGCCCAGAGGGGGTTCAGGGTCCCCAGAGGCCACAGAGCCCAGGACCTCCCAGCCAGCACATCAGTCAGTCACAGGGATTTATTGGGGGTCCTGTGAGTTGGAAGCACTTTGGGGACACGCTGAGACGGACAAAATGCGGTGACTGCGCTACAGGAGCTCAGTCTTCTTGGGCGGGCGGGCGGGCCTGGGATCCGTGACTGTAACTGAACGTGAGAGCAGGCTGAGCGCCAACAGCCGTCAGAGAAGGGGGCACCCAGCAGGAGCTGCGGGAGCCATGGGGGAGAGTGTGCGGTGTTTCCCAGGGACGGGCAGCCTCTTGCAAGCAGCCAGGGATGGAAATGCCACACTTCTCCTTGGAGGCCTTTTTTGAGGGTGTTTAGTAAATCCTCTCTGGAAGCCTGGCCGAGGAGCATCCTTGACCTTCTCAGGCTCCAGATGGTCAGGCTTTGTCTCCAGGTCGAGCCCCAGCTCCATTAGCTTCTGTCGTGCAGGTGCAGGGGGCAAGTGGCGGGGGGGAGGGGCGTGATGAGAAGAGGCTGGGGTCATGGAGGTGCTGTCCATGGTGACTGAGCCGTTTACCTTCCACTCTCAGGGTTCTGGGTCCCGTTCGGGGACAATCGGTCTGGGCTGGGCAGCACGGGAGTCACCATGGAGCATCTTCCCTTCCAGGCAGGGCGGGTCCTGGTGCAGCTCCAGGACATGCGTCATCTGAACCAGGGTGATCCCTGGTGCCCTTTCTGCCTTCTGGGCTGCAGAGACACAGAACAGGCTGTGAGGGTGGTGGGTGTGGACGGGGCTGAAGCTGATTCACTGGGAAGCCGCCCCATTCACTGCAAGTTCCCGAGAACCTCCCCCCGGCACAGAAGACAGCAACTGAGCCCTCAGAGCAACGGCGATGCAGCCAGCCTCTTCTCCACTTGCTCCTGGGAAGCCCCACTCTCTCTTTACCAGGTCTACACACCATGGTGCACTCACTTTCGGAGTATTTGAACCTGGTCCCGGTACTGTGAGGGTGGTGCAGTGGGACCATGCAGAGGGTGGCCCCGTGGCTGGGCGCTGCCCCCTGCTCTCTCCTCTGCGGTTGTGAATGTGGTCCCTGGGCCTATCAACGTGGCTTTTTGCACCCTCCAAAGAGTGTCCCCTTGAGCTCTGGGATGCTGGTGAGACCTAAGTACAGTGCCAGATGTTTTCCCATTTTACTGACTGAGAAACCAGGCCAAGAGGCCTACACTGTGGTGTAGTAGGTTAAGCCACCACCTGTGATGCCTGCATCCCATATGGGTGTTCAAGTCCCAGCTGCTCCATTTCCACTTCCACTCCAGCTCCCTTCTAATGCACCTGGGCAAGCAGCAGAAGATGGCCCAAGTGCTTGGGGTCCTGCCACGCATGTGGGAGACCCAGATGGAGTTTCAGCCTCCTGGCTTCAGTTTGGCCCAGTCCTGGCCATTGGAGGGATTTGGGAAGTAAGCTAATGGATGGAAGATCTCTCTCTCTCTCTCTCTCTCTCTGCCTTTCAAATACATACATTTTTTAAAGAAACCAGGCCAAAAGCAGTTAAATGGCTCAGAGTAGAATTTAGCTCTTCTACATGGGAAAGTCCTGGCACCGGCTCCACCCCCACCCAGGCGTGAGGGTGCCGGGCAGCAGAGAGCACCCCTCAGCCCGGCCTCGGAGCTACTTCGGCTCCACTCACAGGTTCTCCTCCTCCACCTCTTCCTCCTCCTCCTCCTCCGGAGCTTCCTCTGCAGCAGAGCCAGAGCCACAAGGAGGAGCACGGCCAGCGTGGTGGAGACCAGGGTCAGGATCCGAGAGCTGCTGGCCTCTTCTGGGAGAGCGCTGGAATGGGAGGAGCCGGGGGGATGGGAGAACACAGGACAGGGAATCTGGAGCTAGACGGAAGATTCCAGACCGCTCAGCTCACATCCCCCCTTCCCCAGGTGTGGAAGCTGAGGCCAAGGTGGGCTAGCTGCCCCGGGGTCCTGTGCTGGTCAGTAGCGGAGCCAGGGCTAGAACCAGGTCCCCAAGGCCCACGCTGTTTCCTGCTCCACCCGCCTGGGAGTGGGCCCCACTGCGTGCTATTGAGAGAGGACGGAGTGAATGTCAGATTCTGACCTCAGAGTTGGCTCTGCCCCGGTCTTTCCTTGCAGCTTCAATGAGTCACCTCCTTTCTCTGGAACCCCTGTTCCTCCTCTTAACAATTAAAAAGCCCTCGAGGGTCCAGTCTAGATATTCTACCATTCTAGATTGTACTGGAAACCCACAGAACACTCAGCTCATGCTCCCAGAGCCAGGACCCTCGAGGGAAGGAGGGAGGGCACAGGTCTAGTGTCCATGTCACCACGACTTCCCTGCCTTGCAGGTGCAACGGGAGAGAAGTGAGCAGAGGGGGCGGGGCCAGAGGACAGGACGGCCGGCCGGGGCCCCAACCCAGAGGAGGGGCGAAGGGCTCACCTCTTCACGGAAGACCCCTTGCCAGGGAGCCTCCCGGGGCCTGCTGCCGGGGCCTGGCTTGGCATTGCCTGGGGACCACTGTCCCCAGAAGCAATGTCCAGGTCTCCATCAGTGCCTCCTCCCACAGTTGCTGCCTCCACGCTGGTGGCTCCCAAGGTCCACATCCCCGTGGCTGGGCTTGTTCCTTCAGTGGCATCCAGGGCTTGTTGCTTAGAAACCGGTGATGTTGCTTCTTGGAGGGTTTCCCAGGCCAAGCTTCCTGAGACCACAGCCGATGGCCTCGTGGCTCCTGTGACTTCCCCGGTTGTATTCAGATCTACCCGGACCCTCTCTGTTTCTGCCGTTGGCTTAGCGGCCTCAGTAGTTGTCATCACCCCCCCATCCTTGCTGATCTCAGCCCTCGTTGTTACTGAGCTTCTGGGGCCCCACCCCCAAGCACCGTCTGTTGCATTGGGCATGCTTCTGATTGTTGAAGCTGGGCTCTCTGGAGAGGCAGCTGTTGCCTCCGTGGGACCTGCTCCCTGGCTGCCTGTCCCTGGAGCTTCTGTCCTGGCTGTTCCTGGGGTTTGTCTTCCCTTAGCTGGAGGTGTGGTTTTGCTGCTTCCTGGAGTTGGGGCAACTGTTTCCCATTCTGTCCCCTGTACTTCGACAGCCGGGGTGGTTCCTGGGGTCCATCTGTGGGCTGCCATAGATGCTGTTCCTCTGGATGCTGTGCTGAGCTCACCAGCTGCCGCAGTGGCTGTCGGGACAGTGCTGGGACCACCTGTGGGAACAGCAGAAGGAGACCGCACTGGAAGCCGTCCAGGCTACCTGCTGGATTTAAAATGTTTGCTAGATGGAATGCAGCCTCACTAAGACACGCAGTCTTTGGCTAATATGTTGCATAAAATAAAAGTGTAGGTAACCCAGATGGATTGCAGTCAGTTGCAAATATTGACATTTTACAAGGGCTGGCGCTGTGGCGTAGTAGGCTAAGCTTCTGCCTGTGGTGCCAGCATCCCATATGGGTACCAGTTTGTGTCCCGGCTGCTGCTCTTCTGATCCAGCTCTCTGCTGTGGCCTGGGAAAGCCGTAGAGGATGGCCCAAATCCTTGGGCCCCTGCACCCACATGGGAGACCCAGAAGAAGCTCCTGGCTCCTGGCCCAGCTCTGGTCATTGCGGCCATCTGGAGAGTGAACCAGTGGATAGAAGACCTTTCTCTCTGTCTCTCCCTCTCTCTGTCTGTAGCTCTAGCTCTCAAATAAATAATTTAAAAAAAAAGTATTTTACATTCTGTCTCCTTTTGCCAAGCCCAGTGCACATGCCCACGCTGCCCCTCCCCCAAGTCCACAGCCCAAGTATTGCTCTTCAGTCAAGAACAAGAAGCACTCTCTCCAGTGGAACAGCCAATCACAGCAGACGGCTGGATAGCAGCATCCGATGAAGCCGATCTGTTCTTGGGCTGCTTGCTAGCGTGCATCCCTTCTGCAGAGCAGCCTCTCATGGCCGGGGTGCCCAGCCTTGCGTCCTGCACACCTGTCTCTCTTCAGCTGTCTGGAGCCCGCTGCCTGTGGCATGGCCTGGGGACCCTCGGGTGTCTGCTGAGGGGCTCGGCGAGGGTCTGTCCTGCTTTCCATAGCTGCTGGGTTGTGCTGCTCCTTCTCTGTGTGTCTGACCACAGAGCCGTCAGGACGCAGTCACCGGGGGAGAGCCGGATGGGACAGCCAACAGGCATTCAGCTGGGACGTGTCTCCCAAGCTCTGCTTGTGGCTCTGGTGTGAGTGTCCCCCAGTTTCTGTGTCGGAGGCTTAGTTCCCAGGTGACAGTGCCAGGAGACGGTGTGCACCTTTGGGAGGTGGAGCCTTGCCCGAGGTCCTTAGGTAGCTGAAGGTGTCACCCTTTGGAGAGTAAGTTAGCTTTCTCAAGGGCATTGCTGTAGAGGCCTGAGTCTGACCCCCTGGACCCAGCTCTCTCCGGCTTCCTGCACGGAGATGAGATCAGTCATTCCTGCCACTGTCACCCACCACAGTGGGACGCCACCAGGGGACCCTCCCCAGAACTGGGTCTGCACAGGCACCATGCCCTTGAACCTCTAAAACTCTGAGCTGAATCAACCTCCTGCCTTCGTAAGTAGCCTGTCTCAGGCGTCTCATCACAGAGCAGAGAGCTGGCCAATACGAGCTTCCCTTCGAAACCATAGCCTGCTCCTTGGAGGCTTCGCCTTGCTGCCCGCTTTCCATCCTCACTCCCCCCCCCCAGTGTTTGAAGCCCCCGGGGGCCTCTGTGCTGTCTCTTGTGCCTTCCCCCTCCTAGCCCTCACATCACCCAGCGTGGCCATTGGCCACCAGCTCCTACCTGCGGAGAGGGTCAGGTTCATACTGGAGAACAGCATGTTGTTCCGGTCTCCGATGCCGCAGCGGTAGGATCCCACGTCATCCAGGGACAACCGGGACAGCGTCACCACAAACACGCCCCTCTGTGGGAAGTCGGCTAGAGCCACACGGCCGCCGTAGAGACGGTGCGTGTAGTGGTAGCTGGACACGATGGTATAGCAGATCCACCTCGGGGGTCCCAGGCGGCACCAGTACTTCCTCTGGTGCTTGTTGACCGACACAGGGGGATAGTGGCACTGGATGGTGACCGCTCCCCCAGGCTTCCCAGATACCAGCTTTGGGCCCTTTAGTGAATGTGCAGCTGCAGGCAGAGAAAAAAGTCACTAGAGAGGGAGCAGTGAGTCTAGTCACTGCTGGGGCCTTGGGGCCAACACTGGGCCAGAATTAGGGGTCAGGTCCCAATTGCCACTGTAAAAGCGGAGCAGAATCAGTATAGAAAGTGGCAGAGAGGCTGGCGCCATGGCTCACTTGGCTAATCCTCCGCCTTGCGGCGCCGGCACACCGGGTTCTAGTCCCGGTCGGGGCGCCGGATTCTGTCCCGGTTGCCCCTCTTCCAGGCCAGCTCTCTGCTGTGGCCAGGGAGTGCAGTGGAGGATGGCCCAGGTGCTTGGGCCCTGCACCCCATGGGAGACCAGGAGAAGCACCTGGCTCCTGCCATCGGATCAGCTCAGTGTGCCGGCCGCAGCGTGCCAGCCGTGGCGGCCATTGGAGGGTGAACCAATGACAAAGGAAGACCTTTCTCTCTCTGTGTCTCTCTCTCACTGTCCACTCTGCCTGTCAAAAAAAAAAAAGTGGCAGAGCTCAGCCACTGGGGGTCAGCCCATGGTAGGAAAGAGGCTGAATCAGAGAGCCCCCCGCAAGTGGGAGACGAGAATGCAGTAACAGTCGTGCTATTTGGCTAGCCCTTGCCGTGCCCATTGTCCTCGGACAGCCCAGCAGGGGCCTGGGTTCCTTCTGCTGTGCCCCAGTGCAGCTGCTTAAAAAGATGCCAGCTAAGCACGTGTGAGAGGGGTGAGCAACCCCTGACGGGAGCTCTCTGATTGCAGGGAAGCTCAGAGAGAGATGCCACACGGTGAGAGCATATGGCTCGCTTTTTCCTCTGAAAAGGAGATCGGGCCCTAAAGCCCAAGCATCCTGCCGCGCTCAGTGGGAACAGGGTGGATGAGCTCTGGGAACATTTCTCACACTGCCCACTGTTCTACAGAAACTGGAAGACCCTGGGGCTGATGCTGTGGTGCAGTGGGTTAAAGCCCCAGCCTGCAGGGCCAGCATCCCATATGGGTCCTGGTTCGAGCCACAGCTGCTCCACTTCCAATCCGGCTCTCTGCTGTGGCCTGGGAAAGCAGTAGAAGATGGCCCAAGTGCTTGGGCCCCTGCACCCACATGGAAGACCCGGAAGAAGCTCCTGGCTCCTGGCTTTGGATTGGTGCAGCTCCAGCCATTGTGGCCAACTGGGGAGTGAACCAGCAGGTGGAAGACCTCTCTCTCTGGCTCTACCTCTCTCTTTGTAACTCTGTCTTTCAAATAAATAAAAATAATTATTTTTTAAAAAAAGAAAGCCAAGTGCCACTATAAAAGCACGAATGAGCAGAATTGTAAAAATGCCAGCTTTGGCGTTAAGACAACGTGGTTGAACCCCAGTCCGTGGCCAGTGTACTTAGTGTCCTTAGTGACTTCTGCAAACAGAAACTAAGTTTGTTATTTTCTTATTGCCTATTCATTCTTTCTCTGTAGATTTCTCTGCTCCGTGAAGCAATCTCAGGCACAATCTTATGTACACAGAGTTGGTTTCATGGGCTCTTAGAAAATAAGTCAAGTCCAATCCAAGATGACACGTCTGGCCCAGTCCAGTGAAAGATTAGAAGTCTACCCTTGCGCCGGATTCTGTCCTGGTTGCCCCTCTTCCAGGCCAGCTCTCTGCTGTGGCCAGGGAGTGCAGTGGAGAATGGCCCAAGTGCTTGGGCCCTGCACCCCATGGGAGACCAGGAGAAGCACCTGGCTCCTGCCATTGGATCAGCACAGTGCGCCGGCCGCAGCGCGCCGGCAGCGGCGGCCATTGGAGGGTGAACCAATGACAAAGGAAGACCTTTCTCTGTCTCTCTCTCTCACTGTCCACTCTGCCTGTCAGAAAAAAAAAAAAAGAAGAAGAAGAAGTCTACCGTCTTATCCAACTGGTGCCTTTCCTTCTCCACCCCTCACCCTCGGTGGGGCTCGGAGGCCATGGAGGAGGGGACACGCTCGAGTCTCTCCTTGGCTCTGCCCCTTCCTCTACTCAAAGCTGCTGCTCGGGGCCCCTCTGGGGCTGGGCATGGAGGGGGAGGAGGAGAGGTGAGCAGTCACCATGTGTCCCAGTGCCTTCTGCATGTGGCAGCTTCCGGAGCCGCCTTGGTTTTGCCTCCCAGATGTCGTTTTGGTGGCGTCTGGCAGCAGCGGCCCCTTTGTCAGAACTCTCTCTCCTTGTGCTGGCCTTCTCCGGCCACACCCCCAGGCCGGGGACTTCTGGCCATCAGCTCCTCCTTTCAGGGTCACACTCCTCTCCGGGTGGCCCTCTTGGTAGAGGCCCCTCACTGGGGCACAGGAAGCACACCTCTGCCCCCTCGCAGAAGAAACCTAGGACGTATGGCAGGCTGCTTGAGTGACTTCCTAGAAGTGCCTTCTCTACCTTGGCTTAAAGTGCAGAGGGAGTGATTCCTCCAAGCACAACACACTGACGTCGCTCTTCAAAACAGCTGGGAGTGAGCTCTCTGCCCCCTGATGAGTCTTCACCCTTCCTCCTTTGCCCTGGATGGCTGCAGGTTCACTGCTGTTGGAACCAGCCTTCCAACCCCTTTTGTAGCCCTGCAGGTGGCTCAACTTTTGCTTTAGGACATGAGTTCCTGGCACCCGTCCATTTGTTCTGTGTCTTTGGGCTTCTGAACACAAGAAAGTGTAATCCCCTATTTCCAGGAACAAATACCTTGTGGGTCTCTGTGCAAAATGAAAAAGCAAGATCCCTTGTTTCAAAGTTATTAAGGGATTTCCGGACGGGCACAGCAGCGCATTAAGGCAAGTACCTCCTGAGCAGAGTCCTGTGGGGTTGCATTTGGCACCTGCTCGTGGTGCCTGCCTTGCTGCTATCTGTGTCTTAGGTCAACTTATGGAAAGAGTGGGGGTCAGAAGCACCATGGATGTATCAAGGATCACACAATAGGTTGGATAAACAGCACAGCCCAAGCTGTGCCACTCTCAATGGAGTTGAACAGTAAGCTCTCCTTAAGAGACAAGGGTATTCAAGAACTATTCCAGGACAACAGTGGTGATGCCCTGGAAAGTGTTCACGGCCTAGGTTTCGGGAAATCTTAGGCTCTACCTGGTAGTTAGTAAGAGCACTCTTCCACTAACAGGCAGGTCAGGGCCAGCTGGCTTGCTAGTAGAAGGCTGATTAAGAGTTTTAATCAACTCTTGCACATAATTTACATTAATGCCAGAGTTAAGAACCAATACTGTAAGAATTTATTGGTAGGTTACTGAACTGTAGCTCTTAGTTATATATAATAATCAAGGTTGTTGGAGTTTCATGTTAGCCACCTATGCGAGCTATAGGCCAAACATTTTAGGATCCGTGTGGTGCCCTCCTGGGGACTGGATGCCAATTCATGCCCTTCGATGGAGGCGGGTGCCCCTGGCTCTCACCTGCCTAGCATTCCCAGCAGTTGTCTGTGGCTGTGGCTTCCACTGGGAAAGAACGAGTGATGCCCGAGGGTGAGATGATAAGGACCCGAGCCCAATCTGCTGTAAGAAAGGCCTGTGGCAGGACACAGAGGGGAGGGGTCGCACCTGTGAAAGAGTGTGCCTCCTGCCAGCAGAGGGTTGAGGAAGGTGTGAGCGTCTCCATGGCGCAGAGGTGCGTCCTGAACGAGCTGACCTGCAGCGGGCTTCTGAGATGGGATCCTCTGGGTGCAGGGGCCAAAGAAGAACCTGGGCAAGGGGAGGAGGCTGGCATGAGGAGGCCACCCAGGGTCCACGAAAGCACCCACAGGAGGGAGCGGTGCCCAGCCGGCCCCACACCCCTGGCGGGCCCGAGCGCCGGGTGCCCTCGCCAAGCACGAGCTGCTTGCTCTCCTGCCTCTGCTTCCCGCCACTCCAAGCAGCACCTGCCCAGATGCGGGGGGAAAGGGAGAAGGGAGGAACAAAGGCAGGGGCAGGCCAGTGGCACAGCGTGTTCAACCCCAGCTTGGGACACCTGGATTGCACCCCGTATCAGAATGCAGCATCCGAGTCCTGGCTACTCTGTGGTTCCTGCTGGTGCAGCTGGGGGACAGCAGATGATGGCCCAAGTACTTGGGTTCCTGCCACCCGTGTGGGAGACCCAGATGGAGTTCCTGGCTCCTGGCTTTGCCCTGGCATAGCCCTGGCTGTCACAGGCATTGGGAGAGCGGGGAGTGAACCAGCAGATGGAAGACTTCTCTCTGTCTCTCCCTTTCTGTCATTCTGCCTTTCAAAGAAATTTTAAAAGGAGTGGTGAAGGTGGCAATCGCATCCCCAGACTGTATCGGGGGAAGGGTGTATCTTGGAATGAAGACGGAAGTGTAGAGCAAAACATTTAACTGGACACTGGAAATGGTTAAATTCAGAACACCTGTGCTGTAAAGCAATTCAAGGAGGACGATTGTCTACATGCTGGCAGAAGCAGCAGGAGCCTGCCTGAGGCAGGGGAAGCCTTCTCTACTGAAGACGTTTTAGAGAGGCAGTGGGTGTGCCCAAAGCAAGGAAGTGGGGAGATTATAGCCCATGGGGGTGGGGGATGGGGCGCTCAGACATTGGCTCCCTTTGGTTCATTACACTCTGACTTGTTTATATGCCAGATACTGTCGTTGATGATCCTTTTGGGGCATTGTCACTGTATTTTCACCCAAGCCTTCCGTCATTGTTAAGCGTCTACTTGGGCCTAGGTTCTAGGCCCTAGGTACTGCACATTCTAGGCATACGCTTACACTAATCCCCAGTGGGGCCATTGTCCCCTGAGTCTGATCCGCACCCCACCAGCCAGCCAGGACATTTAGGGCAGAGCCCCTGTCTTCCCTGTGTCTGTTGCCATGGCCTGACCTGTGGCGCACCTGTCATAAGTGAGCGACTGCAACTTTTGCTTATGCACAAGTTTCCATGTACACTTGGAGCTCTTCATGTCCCTAGTGCCAAGTGTTTGCAGACGTCTCAGTGGGAATGGAGCTCTGATCCCGCTGCTCTCTGCACACTCTGGAAACCTTATCTAGAAAATGCATGTCCTCAACTTAAATGGAGGAGAGCAGAGGCACGGAGAACCGCGAAACTGAATATTCTAGAAATCGTCAGATCAGACATGCTTCCTTCTGTGTGAGCTCTTACTGCCTTCATTCCTCCAGGGCCCAGATGTGACCACTGTGTAAGGCCTGGGAGCCCAGGAGAGGACGCCACGGCAGTGCTCACACTGTGCAGAACGCCACGGCAGTGGCTGCCAAGAGTCTCTGGAGCCTGGAAGTCTCGTGTCTGATTTTGCAAGCTCTGAATCTGGGCTTTGTTTGGGACTCACCTTGTAGCAGGTACAGAATGAGGAGGAGGGGCTTTTTCCATCCTGCTCTCCGGTTGGCAACCTGCAAAGAACACTAGAGATGAGCAGAGGCCTGAGAGCAGGCGAGTGCGAAGCTGGGGCGGGCGGCGGTGGGACCTGGGGCCCGCACCTGCTCACTCTGAGAGCCCAGTGCACTCGGTTCAGGGGCCGGGCTGGGAGGGTCTGAGAGCGAGACCAGAGCTCCCTGCCTGAGAAAGCAGCACCCCGTCCTCACACCCCTGAGCGTGCACACTGGGCCTGGCTCACGGCCACCAGGCTTCAAATTTCCCTTGCGCTTGAGGTTTCTGTGTGTACAGCAGGTGAAAGCCCCTCCGTGGGCTTGCAGGGCAGGCACCCACTGGCTCTCAATTTGCGGAGTGGAGCGACCACACCTTTGAAGTTCAAACCTCAGTGGGCGCTGTGGGACCTTGGAGAAGTTACCTTGTTTCCTCTCCAGGGGAGGGAGAGAGCTGGGTTTGTTTGTGCCAGCTGGCAGAGCTGGGTAGTGAAGAGGCGTCTCCTGCCCCTTCCCTCCCCACCCCTTCCTCTTTGCAGAGGGGAATCGGTTCCTTGGCGGGGAGCTTTCTCTCTCACAGCTCCTGTGTCCCCCATCAGTTACAAGGAGTGCAAGATTAACTCTCAGGCTGGGCAGCCATCTTCCTGCCCTGCGGGCCACTTCTGCTGCTTCTCACAGCTTCTAGAAAGCTCTGTGTGCTCCAGTCCACACTGGCCCTGGTCTGTCCCTGCGGCCCAGGGACCTGTTCGGGGGCAGAATTTGTGCCTCCCTCTCCCCCCGCAGGATCTCGCACACTATGAGTGTGCAATGCACGCAAGAACCCCCTGCGTTTTCAGTGAGCTCACTGCTGGTCACTCCACAATGGCCTCTTCCACTGGCTGATTAAGGAACTGCGATTGTACATTACCCTTCTCTTGTGTTCCCCGTAGCATAGTCACGGACACTTTTTGTTTGATTAAAAATCTGCTTTTGATTCTGTTTACTGCCTGGAGTAACCTGTAGCTAACCAGTTCCAGTTCCTTTTGCTACCCTAATTAGGAGGATACTTCCGAAAGTTCATGGGGGAAAAAATGTAACCAGAAGATATGCTTACTTGGGTGCAAAAAACAGCTGGCGATGCACGAGTAGTTTTTCATAACATGCACTTTCCACAGCTTTTTGAAGGCTCCTTATATGTGTGGACTTTGAATTTTTTTTGCACCAAAATAAATTTATCTTTTAATTCAATTTTCCAGCAACTTTCTGAAGTCACTGATATTACCAACAGGCCGCTCACAGGCGATGGTTTGGCCCCTGGGCAAGGAAACCCCTTGTCCTTGAACTAGATTAAGCCACTCACCAGTCTGGGCTGTAGGCTGTGCAGGAGGGAAGCCAGAAGGGGAGAGAGGAATGGGGAAAGAAGGGAGAAGGAAGAGAGAGCAGAGGGGAGAGAACAGTGAGGGGTGCATGGGTTGGCCTTGCAGCCACGAGTTGCCAGCTCCGCCTGGCACTGCCCAGCCACCTCCACTAAGGCCCCTGGCTGCCCAGTCCAGCTAGCGCCCCAGGAGGGGTCAGCTTGGGAAAAGCCCACCAGCTCCCAGCGGCCCTGACCGCCCTCTATCTCGACACCGCCATGGCTGCCTCAGTCCTTCCCCTGACGCCAGAGCTCCTGGCTTCCTGCTGCCGCCTGGAAGCCCTCCCAGGGTGTGCCTCACCTAATCCACAATTCGATCGATGTTCCCCGAGTTCAAGCTAATGCTGGGGCCGGCAGCTAGGTTCCCCCGGGCTAATTTTCCCCCAGCGCCAACTGTTGACGCAGCACACGTCGGGGTCAAAGTCTCCAGGCCACACCATCCCGCTTCCCTGAAGCCCAATGGTGCAGCAATCTCTTGGCTTCGGGAGCAAAAACGGCCTCCAAGAGGCAATGAGGAAGCTCGGAGTGTGAGATAAAATGTCTCCAGAGAAATTATCAGCCTTGATTGGAGTTGGACGGATAACATTCAACGGCATGCCTCCAAATGCCCGCGCTGACAGTGACCTTCAGAAATCCTTTATCTGGGGGGCCAGGGAGTCCCAGTTCAGTAGCTGGGACCACAGACCTCCATTGCCGTGCACTGCATCTTAAGGGCTGAGGCCACCCTGGGGGGACCCTGTTGGCCCTCCGGTCATGCAGGGAGGTGTGTGTTCAGTCCAGGCTGTTGCATGGCTTCCCACCCGTGTCCCTTGTGCCCCTCGGAGCTCCACTCCCCTCCCACCTCCCTGACCGCTCTTCCCCATTCTTTGAGCAGCAGACCAAAAGGAGACGGTGTGGTGTAGAGTGGAGAGCCCCAAGTCGGGCTCTGTGGTCCTGGCCACCCTCCCTTCCTCTCCACTGCAAAGGAAGCCCTTGGCCTGAGTGAGCGCCATGTTTCTTCTCTCTAATGTCTGTTCGCTCTCGGTTTCGTAGAGCTCCTAAGGACCTGTGCATTCCTGCGCAGGTGAGAGGGGCCTGAACTCCGTTATCCTTTCCTGGCTCGCTGGGAATGAGCTCCCGAGCTCTGGGAAGGGCCCAGGGCATGCCTGGCTGCTGCTGCAAACCCACCTTCAGGAAGAAAAGCTTCATCTCACCTTGGGCTCTCTGGACTTTGGTGGGGCTTCTCCATCCATCCCGCTGGGAATGAGAGCCTGCTGGACTTTTCTTTTTACCCCTCGGGGAGGCTGGTATTTGAATGTCTTTTAGTTGCTCTTCGTTAAATCCAGAGAGGAGGAGGTGGTGTGGCGTGTTGGAAAGCAGCTGGAGCGGAGGCTGGGAGGCGCAGGTGCAAGGTGTAGCTCTGCTACTCACCTCCCTGCTACTTGCACCAAGTCCCTTCTGTCTGGGTCTTAGGACCTACAGGAGGGAGCCAGTCTTGGGCCCCTGTTGCTCTCACCGTCACTGTCACTGTCACTGTCACTTACTCTTGCAGCACTTCCCCAGGGATGGCAACAGTAGTTCCAAGGAAAACACACCAACCCCCATGCCGTCTCCTCTCCCGTCTCCTCCAGAACAGGGTCCAGGACTTTTAAAGATGCCCCAGCTTTGCTGGCCCCTCCAGGCACCGTCCAGATGGTGATGCAACAGCTTGGGCAGCAGAGAAGGAAAACTTCAAAATTCAGGAGAGGAATTCCCCTGCCACCCGCCTGGCAGCCGGTGCCCTGCGGCTGACCTGGCCCCTCCACCTCGCATAGAGAAGCATTTTGGGCAGCTTGGGCCCCGACTCCAGTTCGACGGCGGCGAGACCCAATGGTTGCTAACTCTCGGCCCATCCAGAGCGCCCTGCAGTGTCTCCATGCAAGGAGAACGCCAACAAGGGTGGCACGACACGCAGAAAACCCCCCTGTATTCCCTTGTGGAAAGTCATTTCTGGGTGGGTTTTCTTTCCTTGGAAAAGCTATCACCTTCCTACCTCTGCTGACCTTGGCCTGACTTTGAGAGGGCCGGCACAGCCCACGCCTTCAATAACTAAGGGGCTAAGGGAGTGGGGGTGCTGCAGGCTGCAGTCTGATCAGGGCCCCTAGTAGATATTATGGCACTTTTGGGCCAATCAGAGGGGGCACCACTTCCTGCAGAACAAATTCTGTTGGCTGGTTTTTGTGCAGTTTGAACAACCGCAGATGGCAGCGTATATGTTGGATGCAGCCCCTGTGCAGGTTTTCAGACAAGCTGGGGGAGGAACTGAGTCCCTGAAAGCAGTAGGAGAGGAAGAGAGACAACTCGATGGCAGGCGTGGAGTATGGCTGGGGCAGGCACTCTTGTGCTACATGTGTGCTGGCGGCCACGTGCACAGCTCTAAGTGCCACCACCCCAGGACTTGGTCAGGGACTCTGGTCCTGGCCTCCAGCCCCTCACCCCCTCCCATGTAGGGTAGAAGACTTCTACAATGTGAATGGCATCCCCTTAGATGTGGCACCTTGATCAGTGCACAACCTGAAGCACTGCACAGGGTGGTCCTGCCTTCAGAAGTGGACCTCAGAATGGAATGATCTGGCCATGGGTGGTGGATGGGTGCCTGATGCCTGGCTGGCTTCTCCTCTGCCAGCTCCTCGGGAGGCGGGGTAGCATCATGTTTCATTGTATGCACTCTGGAGTCAGACTCCCCTGCTCCCCCACCAAGTTCTTATCCCAGTTTTACTTTTAATTGGGAAAATAGTAGGGGCAAGGTTACTTATTATCCCTAAACTCTGTTTTCCTAATCTGTTAAACAGGAAATAATAGCACCTACCTCATAAAGTTATTATGTGGACTACATGTGATAATTCATGTAACTTCAAGTCCCCAGCATGCAGGAAACACGCAGGAAACATTAGCTGATTGTACAGAAGCGCCCTTACAGACACACGGAGCCAGGCCCTGGAACCGTCACACACTCAGCAAGCGTCCTTAGAGGGCTTCATTTCTTCAGAGACCTACTACTCTCTACCTCCCTTCCTTCTTTTCTTTCTTCCTCCCTCCATTTTTTATTTTTAAAGATTCATTCATTTACTTGAAAGGCAAAGCAACAGAGAAAGACAGAGAGATAGAATCTTCCATCTGCTGGTTCACTTCCTAAATGGCTGCCACAGCCGAGTCTGGACCAGACCAAAACCCAGTGCCAATAACTCCATCCGGGTCTCCCACATAGGTGGCAGTGGCCCAAGCAGTTGGGCCGTCTGCTGCTGTTGTCCCAGGCACATCAGCAGGGACCCCACCCGGGTTGGGAATGGGGCACTTGGGACTCAAACCAGCGCTCTGCCATGGGACACCGGCGACTCAAGAGGCAATCCCTCTGTCTCCCTCTTTCTTTCCTGCCTCCCCCGACCCTTCCTTCCTCTTTTTCTTTTCATAATGTTGACATTTGAAAGATTAAAAGCAGAACAATTTGTATAATGTCATTTCTGGATTACATTTGTTTTTAGGGCCAGATGTGTTCATTTTCCATAATTGTATAGAAGAGGCCACCTTTTGGCCTCTTTGAGAGTCTTTCTCTACTTCTGAAGACTTTGATTGCTGAGGACCTAAGAGTGCGATGAGCTGCCACACACTGGGTAGTTTCCGGAGCACTGACTCCCAGCCACAGTCCCGCAAGCTTGAAGCTTTCTGGGGAGAGAGGGTTGCATGCTGATTGCTTGTCTTGGGGATGTAACTGACTTTTCTCGTCCGGCACAAAGTTCCACAGGTTGTGACACTGTGACCTTCCAACTTCAGGATCCTCACTCCAGAATCAAGACAAGTAGTATTTTGGCCAAATGTCCACTCGAGGAAGAACTTTATCCACACCCCACCCCTACCTTGCTTCCAGTGCCCTTACCCCAGTTTTCACAAGGGATGTTTTTGCTAAACACATACATGAGAGTAACAGTAAGCAAAACAGAAAGGTAACCAAAGCAAGGAAGGCTATTCATGCAATAAAGCAATCCAGATTGATAGCCTCTTCTGCAAAACATGATCCCTAACGCATGAAGAGGAACAATGGCCAGAGCAGCTCCTGCACCCACGGGGCTCCCCCAACTCTCCCCTTCCTTGGTAGCCAAGCCTTGCATTTCTCTGCATGGCGGTCAAGCTTCCTGCTCACCATACCCACTGTGCAAGCTTTTTTTTTTTTTTTAATCTTTGTTAGATGCTGGATTGGCACAAGTTCCCCTCCTGCTCAGGTCACAGCATTAAATATTCAGAAAAACGTTGTCTAAAAACACCTGCATTGCTACCAATCCTTGATCACTTGGAAATTCATAAAGGAAGGTGAACTATGAGACTTGTCACTTCTCCAAATGACAACGGAAGAAAGTGTTTGCATAGCACAAATAATCATTTTATCACAGCAGTTAGCAGGCTTTTATAACCGAAGCCATCATTTAGCTGATAGCGAAGCCTGTGATCCAGTGACACTCAGCTCTCAACCTGGCAGGCGCTCCAAAGGCAGTTAGAGCGATGATGACTGTTTAAGTTCATGCTCAGGCTGCTGGTGCAAGCAGAGCGAGGACTCCCAGGCCTTCATTTCAGACGAGGCAACAGTGCCTACTAGCTTAGCTGCAGCTCATGCCAAGCTGCTGGTGTGGATAGTAGTGGGAAAACATGCCTGAAGCTCTGAGCGCGATCTTCTGGAGCAACGAGCCTGGAGACTGAAACGAATGTGTTTCCTACTGGTTGGGGTTACTTGGTTCAGAGTCTGTTTGCCATGAACATGACCCTGTGATAATAAATCACTGACCGTTATTGGATGGAAAGTCCCAATAGTTACTGTCCCACCACAGAGAATGTTCTGGAAGAATGGTGCTGTATGAGGGTTCTCGTCATGGTGCTGCTGCTGGCTGGGTGGGTATTTGGTGGCCTTGGTGGGTGGGAGACCCGCTGTTTGTTGGGCCCACACGTAGCCTCCATCCCTCTCTCTCTCATCCTTCTCTGGGTGTTCATTGTGCCAGCACCAAGATGGCCGATGACTGAACTAGGCTGATGTCAGTGGCCTAGCCGTTCTGTCTGCTTGCTAGGGTAGTGTTTTTTCCATGGTGGATTCCCTCTGGTGGGCGTTTGCCTCTGTTGCAAAGATCTCACACTTCATGCCCACTCCCTTGTCCATCCACGCATCTCAACCTGTGGGGAGCAACCCGGACTAGACTGAGTTACTGGAATTAAAACTTATTCTATGCATCTGCTCTCCCACAATATGGCGCTGGGAGAGAAGTAAACAGCTTCCGCACAGCTGCCTCCAGTTCAACCAATTAACTGTAGGACTTGCTCCTGATTGGAGAGCAGCGTACTCGGCGTGTGGGCAGCCGAGTTGGGATTGGCGGAGGAGGACTATAAAGGGGGAGAGAGACGGCATGCACCAGGAACATCTATGGGGAACATCTAAGGGGAACATCTGGCTGAGGGAACACCTGTGCAGCCCCCGAGAAGAGCCGGCCGGCAGTGTGCCGCTCCCCTGCGGAAGTGGGGAAAGCGGCCAGGGGGAACCGCCCTTCCACGGAGGTGGAAGGGATAGTAGCCAACCCGGGAAGAACCAGCAGCAAACCCGGGGAGGGCCGAGCAGACGAAAGAACAGCGCAGGGTCCTGTGTCGTTCCTCCACGAAGACGGGGAGCGACATAATGGTGCCGTGACTCGGATATGAAGCCTAGGCAGGGCTTAGTGTCGTTCCTCCACGAAGAGGGGGAGCGACATCAACCCTGATCTTTCAATTGTTCTCCGTTCAGACCTCTGGATGTATTCCAGCATCAGGTCATTTTCCTTTTGGTGCAAAGCAGGTGACCAGTGCACTCTTCAGAACTCTGACCACTGGAAGGAATTTCTCTTGCCACTATTTTTCAATGCCCACCTTGTATTACACTGACTGTTCCCTTTCAACTTGAAGCCATATACCAAACCAACCCATCTGCAAACCAAGAGTGTTTTTCCCCCTCCTCTGCCATTTGCTTACAAGGTGTGCTTCCATGTAGTGCTTTGGGTGCAGTCGTAGGCATTGGTCTAAAGATCTGGACTTGCTTGTGCCCCTGGGTCCTTGTGCTTGGCCCACATGCACCACGTAGAACTGATGATAAATTGCTACTTGGCTTGCCTGACCCTATGGCTTGGTGGTTGCAATAGCTCTCAGCTCATGATGGGCAGTTCCAGGTGCAAACTCATCTGGAGTCCTGTGTTCAGGACCTGTGTCTCTGCCTGGCAGGAATCACACCAGGAGTTGTTTTTCAAAAGGAATGTGAGTTTCTGCAGCAGATGGTGTGGCCTTGAGAGGAGCCATGGGGCCCGTGTGACTGGGCTGCGAGTCCCTCCCCAGGCTCGCCTAGCTCCGCACGGCAGCTTCTCTCACACCTGTACCTCTACCGGCCCGCAGCAGGGCTGCGCCCGTCTCAGTCTGGACCTGCTTCGGGGCTTTTGCCTGCTCTGCTGGCACTGACAGGTGGGAGCCTTTGATGCCAGAACAGAATTCCCGGGTGTGGAATACGCTGCCCGCAGAATCAAAGGGGTCCATCAGATGTCTTGATTCCTTCACTGTGGTGTGGGAGGTGAGACATGGCTTGTCTTTCACTTGGGATGAGATTCCCTGGACCCCTAAAATTTGCCCCAACAGGCAGTTCCCCTAACCTACGTAGGGTTTGCCTTCCTCCCTCTGAGCCACTTGTGTCCCACCAAGACCTCCTGTAAGCCAGCCTCTTCTTGCCCATGGAGCCTGATTAGCAGAATATCGT